GCCTGTTCGTACGCAAACGGCAAGACGACTGGGTACGCTATCTGCCAACTGCCGAGTTCGTGCTGAACAGCCGAATCCACTCTGCGCACAACCACACGCCCTTCGAGGTCATGTACGGGTACAAGCCAGACTTCACGGTACCAGTGGGAACAGAGACTCGCTTCCCTCATCTCGAGGATCGTCTAGAGGGCATGCGCCAAGCACAGAAGGACATTGAATCAGTGCTGCGCGCAGGCAAGGCGAAGATGAAGGTTCACTTCGCAGAGGAACACCCTCGTGATCGGAAGGCATTCGAAGTCGGAGACAAGGTCTGGCTTAGCGCAAAAGACATCAGTGTGCACCAGGCAACGCGCAAGCTTGGTGTCCGGCAGCTGGGACCCTACAAGGTGGTCGAACGCGTGGGTGATCTAGCCTATCGTCTCGAACTCCCACCCACGCTCAAGATCCACCCGGTCGTACATGTGGATCGGCTGTCCAAGTATGGAGGGAACGAGGTGAACGGGCGACGAGCACCACCGCCAGAGCCAGTGGAAGTGGACGGAGAGGAGGAGTACGAGGTGGAGAGGATTCTGGACAGTCGGTTCTTCAACCGCCGGCTTCAGTTCCAGGTGCGGTGGAAGGGATACGGAGAGGGGGACGACTCGTGGGAACCAGCGGCGAATGTCGCCAATGCCCCAGAGAAGGTCGCAGAGTTCTACGAGCGCAATCCCAACGCGCCTCGCAAGATATCTGCGACTCTATTCGCCGCGCTGCCATGGAGGAGGGTTGAGCACCCTGAGCACACAGAAACGGAGAAGGAAGACTGGCAGGAGGGGAGGATCATGTCCATCCGGGACGGATGGGTTTTAGGAGGGGGGTAATGTTGTGGAACGGACTCTGGACTCGCCCTACGTATTATTTTTCGTCTTTTCCTTGCCTTTTCTCTGCCTGCTACTATATTGGAAGGTTGTTCCCGCGCTTAAGCGCCCGTATCGCGGACTCTCTTAGCACTTGCACTTCGTGTCCTAGCCCTCATCTCGACCTCTTGGTCTTTGTGGGCTAGGTGAGTATCTCGATTGCCTGTATGTATGTAGAGCTATGTTAACTTGGTCTTTGTGGGCTAGACATCCCTCGTGTGACTCTAGTTTGCGTCTGCTTTGCGCCTAGTGCCGGCAACGCCTCTGCACCACTACATCGAGGTCATCCAACCTCCATCTACACCCATCCACCCCTCCCTCTCCTCCGATTGGCGTTCGCGGCCCGCTCCCGCGTCACAGTGCAGCAACTGTCGCCGCTTCAAGCGGAAGTGCGATCGAGGCTCTCCATGTGACCGGTGCATTCGAGGGAACCGCACAGGCTCCTGTCGCTACTTGCCCTTCGACCGCAAGACGACCGTATGCACGACTTGTGATGGTACGTTCGCATCACTCTCGACTTGCAAGGAACTCACCTTCGAATCTCGCCAGGCCACGGCGTCGTCCCCTTGGCACCCCAAGAGAGTACCCAGGGAGCCATCACGAACGGGGTCGCAGCTCCCGTGAACGCTGCTGTCATCGGAGATAGTAGCTTCGCGGCCCCCGTGAACGTCCAGGGCGCATCCCAATTCGTCCCTACACCTCGGGCATAGGCATGTGTTCTGGCCAGGTAAATCCGTGGGAATTTGAAGTAAAATGTGTCATTCTGCTAGCATGTCCAATCGCCGTTATATCCGTGTGACAGTTATACTATCTCGGGCATGCCGCATGCATTTCCCGTGCAGAGAAAGGCAACCTTCCCCTTTGCTGCCCGTCCAAGAGACATGCCAGGGAAATGCTACCTTTCCCTTGCATGTCAATGGCATTTCTTCTCGGCATTGCACAGCTCACAGGCCTATGTCGAGCGCCGTGGGGCAGCAGGACGTGCATATTGCCGTTTTTGGTGCACACCGTTGCTGTGTGCCCCGTGTTAACCTTTGCAACCACCACACCTGAATTTGACATGCAAGGGAAAGGTAGCATTTCCCTGGCATGTCCCTTGGACGGGCAGCAAAGGGGAAGGTTGCCTTTCTCTGCATGGGAAATGCATGCGGCATGCCCGAGATAGTATAACTGTCACACGGATATAACGGCGATTGGACATGCTAGCAGAATGACACATTTTACTTCAAATTCCCACGGATTTACCTGGCCAGAACATATGCCTATGCCCGAGGTGCTAGGAACACGACGACCGACACAACCTTCACTCGCTACGGGCCGGTTCCGGTCCTGGGAAGCGGTCAGCAAGGGACAAGCTTCGGGAACGTTACACACGCTATCCCGGCAGAACAGTCGTCATCGAACACCTACAACATCGGAGCCGGGATGCATGTCCCGCGCGGCTTCAATACACCCAGCTTCTTCCCACCATTTACCGATCCAGGATACAACCTCCAGTACATCGTGACCCGCAGTTACGGCGACGGCTACGGCGAGGGCTTGGGTGATGATTTCGGTGGTAATTGGTACGCCAGGGAGACCTACGACGGTATGTCAGTTTACGGCGGGGAGCCGGACCGCGCGAACCAGGTGAGTGCGAGCAGTCTCTATCGACACCGAGTGAGGGACTGACGCATGTTCTCTCCGCTTGAAAGCGTCAGTGAACGGCAAACGCCACTTGAACCGGAAATGTCGCACGAGCTCCTCATGTTGTCTTGGATTTTTTCTGCTGTCGAGCTGTCATGGTATGCTGTCAATGTTTTGAGACGTACGATCAAAGAAAAGCGATGTCGGAGTCCTTGGCTCTCACTCTCACGATCCCGGTGCGCCCAACAAGGTGCGTGTGTTCAGAGTTGCGACGAGTAGTATCGATGGTCATATGAGAGACGAGTGAGCGGACGCAACTGTGGGAGCAGGAGCGAATCAGAAGCACGCAGGACGATGGTGAGTGCAGAGATTGTATGCTTCTGTGTACATCCTTCGCCTGAGAACAAATATGCGATTAGCATTCTGACTCAACGGATTGTCCGAGAGTCTGCGATGCCGGTATTCTACCTTCAAGCCCGCCCAACTGGTACGACGCTATCCGATCGCCTGTTTCATCAGGCTGGGGTCGTCTCAGATCCTCCTGCCTCCTCCAGTCGTGGCGTTCCGCCGCGCGAGAAGCTGCTGCGTGTCGGGGAACCGCACCGAAAGCTCGATCATGGACGCTCACCGGGTTCTCGCGTGGCGGAACGCCTCTCCACGGCACGGGCTCGCGCTCTGGCCAGAACGCGACGTGGAGCTCCAGGAATGCGGGCGCAGGAGGTGCGGCGTCTTGACGACGGACGCTGGCGGAGGGCGACGTGATGGGTAATAGGTATGGCCTGGGTACTTGGGCCGCGGCCGCGGCTGGGAGTGGGGAGAATGGAGCCCGTCGAAAGCTTGATGTCGACGATCCCGAGTACGCGGAGGAAGTTTGAAAAGGTGCGACAACAGAGTAAACAGTTGCGTGATCGTCACCCAATCAAGGTGGAATTTGAGCCAGATGGCGAAAGCACAAGTCGGGGTGCGAAGGTCTTCAAGAGGATCTATGTAATAGCATGCGGTGATGAGCGGACACTGAAGAAACAGTAAGTACATTGATGTAGAATGTATCTCAGTCGGATGGGAATACGTCTGAAAGAGAGGGCGACCACGGAAGAGAGAGACTGTCGAGCGCGGGCGTTGCCGAAGCGGAGAATGAAACGTAACAGTCAAAGTAAGTAAATGTCCGTAAGCGGAGTTTTAACGCTTAAGCTAGAGTAAGTCGTACTTCAACACTGTGTTCCAATTGCTCTCGACGCCAGTCGGTGCTGCCAGCTGGAACCCAGATATCCAGAAGTGTTGCGGATATCCCCGGTCGTGACCCATATGGTCAAGCATGCCCTTGAATCTTCACGAATGCACAGATCGAAGCCAAAACTCGGACGGGAGTTGGGAAGACCAAGTATGATGAGATTGACAAGCTAGAGCAGACGACTCGACCCAGGGACAACTAATGGTGCTAACGCGGCTATACGGCTACGGGTGGAGGAGGGCAAACGGCGAGCAAAATGACGAGAGCAAAGCATAGACGATGCATGGAGGAGGGACCGCGCTGGTACCCGGGGGGAAGAACGGGCAGTGCGAGTCCAGATCACTGTCCTCGAGGTCATGACAACCTCGAGGGACAGCGCTCCGCACAGGGGAAGTAGACAGAGGTACGAACGACATACATGACCATAAGTAACCGGGCGCGTAACCGAGCTGCGGTGGTGTCGGCCGCAGCGACGGAAGAAGGGATCAGGGAGATCAGCTACATCGCGCAAGCCAGACACAGGAGCACTCACCTCGAGCAGTCCCAGCGAAGGCGTCCCCGTCGAGGCCGCCCTGCGCGAAAAGTACATCAGGTGTACGTGGACGGCAGAGACACTGTACTTCCTGGGCTTGTAGGTTGACGATGGTGTGTAGCGTACATAACAGATCGCCTCGTATTGCTCCCCTTGCACATGGATCCAGGTATCGTAGAGTGGTGAAGCGGTGGAAACATAGCATATATCTAGGGAGGCGCCACACAATCTTAAGCATCGCATGGCGCGCGCACTTACCTCGTATACGACACGTTGAAGCTCCTAACAGTCTTCGTCGTCCAAGATGATGATGATTCACGTGGCGTTTCCGGCCACGGAAGGACGCCGGCCACGCGTTCTTGAATGCACCACCGAAATAGGAGTGGGGTCATCGATGGAGTCCGCGACGCTGGAACCGGGGTCGTTGCAGAGGACGACGGTGCGATGTTGGTGCCGATGTCGGCGTGACGAAGCCAGAGTCCAGTTCACATTTGATTTCGTCGCGCCCTGTAATCGAATCTCAGCGACTCACCGCCAACGACGCTGGGCGAACTCCAGCCTCTCCGCGGTCCACAAGGCGGGTAGCGATGGACGACCGGCTTACTTTGTCTTGGCATGCAGGAGGCGCATGAGGAGTATCTTCTCTTCTTTGACCTTCGCCGCTTGCACCTTGTCCAGGATGGATGTGCTGGCGTTCACGAGCTCGAGCCACCGTTTCTGCTTCGCGACGCGCATATCCTCTGTTAACGGGATATGTGGGGTTGGCGCAGGGATTTGGAGGGTGACAGCAGAAGTGGACACGGCGAGCGGGGCGGGACCGGTGGGGCTTGCACGCTGGTGGTGAGGACCGGGAAGGGCGTTCGGTGGCTGCTTGGATGGACTCGTTGATGAATGAGATGGCAAGCTCGTCGAGGGATGCGACGGAGGGTTGTGTGTCACCACGAGTTCATCGCCGACACCCGCGCTGCCGTTAGCCGTCTTCGTCTCCAGACTTCCGAGTGTCGTCCTTGCGAGCCCATGCGATGGCGTGTCTGAAGGAGTTATCGGCTCTGGGGACTCGGACGGGCTGTCGCTAGACGACAGTGACACCCGCGGACCGGGTGCTGCTTTGCGAAGGGCGAGTTGCGCTTTCGCCTGCACGTCCCGCCGAAACCTGTCGCGAACTTCCATGATTTCATCGACGGGAGCGAGGTTGTGGTGGGTGGTGTTGGTGTTCGACTCGACAGGGCTGGACATCTCCATGTCTTCGTCGTCGTCCATCGCCGCGATTTGCAGTTCGCCGTCCACGCTGCCGTCGTCGAGAGTGGCGATGATCCGCGCGCTGCCTTCGTCGTCGGAGTCCAATACCATCTCGTCCTCCCATGTACCCTCACCCCCGAAATAGCGATCCTTGCGTGCGGGACTGGACAGATGTGGAGTTAGAGGCTTGGTGGGTGGCGCCGAGGTGGCAGGTAGTGGTCGAATGGATGGTAGAGGCGAAGGTCGCGGCAAAAGAAGGGAGGTCGGGTCAGCGAGACGTTGCTCGAGCTTCTTTTTCGCTTTGTTCTTCTTCTTTTTCGACTTGGTGCTCACCTCCTCGTCGATCTCGCCCTCCTCCATCTCCAGTGCACTCCACCGGTCGACGCCCCGATAGCGGTACACCCGTATATGCTCCTTCCCGTCGCCGTGCATCCTCGGGCAATTGAACCCCATCGTGGCATCCTCAGGCCGAATCCACTCGACGAGGGCTTTCCCACACTTGGCGTCCAGGACAACACGGGCGACCTCCCCGAAACGAGTGGCCCACTGCTGGAGAAAATCGAGCCTGCGGAAGATCTTGGGGAGATGGGCGACGACCAGAGTATGACTGGGCACAGGGGCTGCCGCGTCGGGAGATGGCAACGGAACGACGGTGGTGGCAGTGTGGTCGAAGAAGGCAGAGTTGAATCGGTCTGTAAGCCCCATGATGCGCTTGTTTGGTTGGACGTCTTGGCTGGCCTGGGGGTGGGCAGGTGGAGGTAGAATATCGTTTGCGACGTGTTCTGGACTGAGGTACAACGGAGCCCGGAAGTCGAGCATGGTTGAACGGGACGTCGAAGGAGGGTGATACATGACGGAGTCGATGGCTGGACTGGAAGGTTCGGAGAGGTACTCGTGCGCGGGAAGCTCGGGATCCTGGTACTCTTCCCAATCGTTGGTGCACATCGTACCTTGGGGTACCAAGGGGTGGCGAAAGGAGACAGCATCGAGGGTCTTGCGGGAGCGTTCCAGAGGAGGGTATCGATAGGGTGATACTCCTCCATGTGCGGGTGAAAGGGCGGGAACGAACTCATCTGTTGATGCGCCAACATCTCGTACTGTGCTTGCACCAGAAACGATGGAAGCACGTTTCCAAAAGGGCTCAAGTTTTGATGCAGATGGGAGTGAGGCTGGGGATGGAGATGAGCGTGAAAGGGTTGGTGGAGCCCGCTAACTGCAGCGTGAACGGTGGGGGCTGAAGCACTCTGAGGAGAGAGAGGCTGTTGAACGGCACGTTCCTGGCGCGCTTTCTTCTTCTTGATACTCGTCGTGTCTTCGGTAGTTCGGGTTTTCTGCACGTCGTCACTGCCGGGATCCTTCACCTCCATCCGTTTCCGCTTCTGCCCGTGCACCGATGTAGACGCCGCTGCCACAGAGTTCACACCTCAGTTACACGTTCAACGTCACAAAAAGGTGATACACACCTTGCAAAGATCCATGCAATGGCTCGCTTGGCACCGGTGTATGTGTGGGTGGAGGAGAGCCTGGACTGGGACCGACAATCTGCTAGACTGCGTGAATGCTGGGGACTGGTTGTTGTGCCAAAAGTACGCCACCTGGTAATTTCCCTCTCTACGAACGCCGCATCTTCGTCATCTGAGATCATAATTGGCTCTTCGAAAGACCCTGCACCGTGTGAGACATATTCACTAGATGAACGAAGGATATGTGTGGTCTGGTGAACAAGACTTCGCAGAGTCACGAAAAGGACCTCACCACGCAGCGACAACAACTCTGTCGTGATCCGGAGGCGGGATGCAAGGTGTGAGTGTGAAAGGCGAGAGGCGAGGTGTCAGGCCCAGGAGAGAAACGCGTCGAGGTATTGGGCGCCCGTGCCAGCCTCACGGCAATGTCCGTGTCTGGGCTCCACCACTCACACTACTTGGCTCACTCTCACACCGTCCTTCGAAAACGCCGAACGCGTTCTACTTCAATTGTCAAAAGGATACAGCACCAGCTACTCATTTGATACGCCATGATTCAAACGCCAGATAACGTCCTATAATACATGATATTCATCTCTGCAGCTATTTACAGAGGGCGAATATGAGGGATCGGCCCACGGGAACGACCCTGGTAGGGTTAACCTGCAACGCAGTCTATCATCAACCTCAGTTCTCGCCATGGCGGAACAGCTGCTTACGTGCGGGTGCGACCAGTAGTAGTGGGTCTTGATATGTTCGAAGTTGCACGTTGACGAAAATGCGTCGTTCTTCCAGTACAGCTTGCGCATCCAGAGGTCGATCGCCGGATAGCCGTCGCGGATAGTGCGGATGTTGCACTTGAAGTGGCCGACATACACCGGGTCGAAGCGAATTATTGTCACGAACAGGCGGACGTCCGCCTCGGTCAGGGTGTCGCCGATGAGGTAGTCTTTGCCAGCAAGCATCTTCTCAACGCGGTCGAGGGACTCGAAAAGGGGAACGACGGCAGCTTCGTACGCTTCTTGCGAGGTCGCGAAGCCGGAACGGTAGACGCCGTCTATGGAGATACAGTTAGCAGTCGTTACAGGGAAACAGGTACAACGGCTACTCACTGTTGATGGTTGGGTACACCCAATCATTGACCTCGTCAATGTCCTTGCGCAGCGACTCCGGGTAGAGGTCAAGACCCGCCTTATCCGCAGGGAGGAGGTCGTTGAACTCAGTGTTCAGCATGCGAATGATCTCCGAGCTTTCGTTGTTCACAATCATCTTGCTCTTCGAGTCCCAGAGTACAGGCACGGTGAAACTGCGCATATGGTGGGCTTAGAAGGAGTAAGGAATGGCACATAAGCGCACATACCGGCCCTCATAGTTGGGTTCGATGGAGAGGTAGATGTCCCGAATGTGCTTCGAGTCGTGGAAGGGATCGGCATCTGCGCCGGGGAAGGCGTCCACAGATGCAAAGGGCCACCCTTCGGAGCCCATACGAGGGGAGACGACAGTGACGCCTGGTAGAGGAATATCTAGAAACGCAGACAGGAAATGACCAAACAAGGGACTTACCGATGAAATCCTCGAGACCCTTCAGCTTGCGAACAATCAGGGTACGCGTCGCCCACGCTAACAGATGGAGCGATTGGCAAGCGGACGCCATGAACGAAGGAAGCAGAACGTACGGCAGGCGTAGGAGACATAGAGGTGGTAACGACCTGGAGGAAGGAGGACATCGCACCGATCTAACACAGGAACAATAACCACGGCGACACTCACCTTTTTCAGGCGGAAACTCTCCTCCTCTCTGAATGAACTTGCGGAATGACGATGCGGGGCGCACAAAAGCGCCCGTCGTATTGTCTGGACCCTTGTAGCGATGTCTGTGGTCATTCTTCGACGTGAGGTTGGCGGATGGGGAGCCGATGAAAAGGATGGATGGCTGCGAAAATGTGCCTCGTACTTGTAGGGGCTGCATGACATATGAAGGGGCATTAATAAGCCAGATATGGTGAATAGGGAGCATCTCGATGTCGATTGGTTCTGCGCGATGCCCTTTTTAGTGATGAGAGAGACACGCACGTCATGGGCATACGTTCCAGATTGCTCAGCACGACGGGAAACAGCTTGGAATTGACACCATCGCCGTGCTTTGACCGCATCCAAGGCATGCAGCCATAGCCAGGCACAGCGCGGTAGCGTGGTACCGGGGACACTGGCGGAGGACGAACAAGCAGGTGACTAGGAAGAAGTCAAGAACAAACCTGGAGGCCTGCCTTCAACGTTTGAACAATGAAGTCTAACTGGATTTACGGAGCTTATCTTATCGGCTTTTACCATCGATCTAATCACAATGGAAATCGTGCGCGCTAACTTGTCGCCGTACTACTGTCGCCGTTTGTGTCAACTGAGACTTCGTCCTGTTCTCGCTCTTGCGCATGCTTTCAATGCATCTCTGACGAACCAACCTCTCCAACATGGCCACGATGATCTGCTTCAACCTCTACACCCCACTTTCAAGTGTCACTCACCCTCAGGTGACAGGCAGACGTTCCGGATTTGACGAACGAAGATAGTGTTTGGAAAGGCAGTGGTAACCTGCGAGGTGCGTGGCCGCAGAGTTATATACGAGGCCAGAGGAGCACTGGTTACGATTGCGACATATAGTTGTGAAGTGGCGTGTGCCTATAGCTGACCAAGACCCACGAAATCGGCTTGTAGTCACTTCTTCCTGCATTTATAATGCAAAGCAGGCTTGCTAACAGCGTTCAACCCATCCGCTTATATAAAGCTTCATCCATGGGAAGGGGTGCTCGGACAAAATATCCCACTTCTCATCGGTACACTAGCCCCTCCGCGCCAGCATGACTATCTCCAACGACACCACTATCGGCCAACTCCTATACTTCACTCCACCTCTCGATGGCTCGAAACCGTACATATATATCAACGACGACGGCACGCGCCCGCAAAGGAACTACCAGCAAGCAACCCACGAAGTGAAGATTGAGAACATCCGGGGCAAGGAGGACTCGGTTTCCCTCGATAAGACCGGCTTCCAGTTTTACAACCGCCCGGCTGCCCACAAGTCGTTTCAGAACGATGAGGAGATCGAGAAGGAGTACTACCCGGAGTCCATCGCGCTCTTGAAGGAGCTCACAGGCGCGTCCCTCGTCGTTCCATTCGACCACAGTGAGCACTTTTTTCTCTATTATCTGCGCTTCCCTGGGGCCCAACTCACCGTCCCCGAACCTTCCCAGCCATTCGCCGCCGTCGCCCGGGCGAGCTCGACGACTCCCCACAGAAGCGTCAGCCTGTGCCGCAAGTGCACATCGACCAGACCCCAACATCGTCGCGCGACCGCGTGAGGCGCCACCTGCCCGCAGAGGACGTTCCCCGGTTGCTCGCGAACCGCTTTCAAATCATCAACCTCTGGCGGCCAATCGGAAACGTCGCGCTTGACTGGCCACTCGCGCTCTGCGATGGTCGGTCCGTCGACGAGCATGTGGATCTCATCCCGACGACGCTCAAGTACCCGGACCGCGACGGAGAGACGTTCAGCGTCAAGTTCAACCCGAACCACCGGTGGAAGTACCTGCGGGGGATGACTCCGGACGAGGTCGTGCTTATCAAGTGGTTTGTGTACCTCGTCTCTAAATGTCACTTAGGTGAGCTGACGATTTGGCACAGCTACGACTCGAAGGAAGACCCTTCGCTTGCCACCTTCACTCCTCACACCGCCTTCGAAGATCCGTCGACGCCAGCCGATGCCCCACTTCGCCAGTCGATCGAGGTTCGCTTCTTGGTGTTCTACGATTAAGAGATCCCTTTCATCCGCTGTTGTGCTTGGAGTCAATGTACGCTATCATTCGGAAGATATCACAATATTCGTTACACAATCTACGTCCATGGCCCGATGTATGTGTGAGTGTGATATCCAAGGGTACGTCTCTTAAGAAGCCTCGGCTGAGAAACAAGCTAATTGTGGCCGCGACCGGAATGTTAGTTTGGTTAGCAGTTTTATGTTCGCATCTTCGGCATGCTGCATCATGAGACAGGACCTCGAGGGGCACGTGGGGCGTAAATGCGCAGATTTGTCACAGGTACGGCATAGTGTCGGGCATTCTCAAAGGCTTCTTATTGCTGACGTCCATGATTCTAGAGCATGCGCAGGATGACCTCAGGTCGGTGGTGTGGATTACTTATTGTGCTCGCGCCGGCTCGGTGAGCACGCAACGTTCGCAATCGAGGCGAAGCCAGGGCCTTGAGGAGTTTTTTTTTGATGTTCCGTCGACGTCAATTAACCCCCGTCTTACAGGGATCGTAGGTGATGAGTCACATAATACATTGCCGAGCTGCATAAATCGTGGTGCCGTGTCGCAATGAGTTAACTGCTCATTGTTGCGGTGACATTTTCGCACTCTGAAAACGGGCGCACGAGTAGTACAAATTCGATTGGTTGCTAACACTGGCGTTCCAATCAACACGAATCAACATGAGCCTCCACTTTCGGTTTCTTCTGTCAAGTGCTTCACAGCCCAAGCGCGAACGCCAGGGCCACGCAAACGCTGAGTGGACTGTCTGCTTCATGTCTCAGCACTCTCTTCCCCATGCACAGGACAAGCCAAATGGGGGTGCTGCATGACACCTCCCATTCTACTTCAAGGCGCGATTGAGCTTAGGTTGACGTGACGATGGTATTCGAATCCTCGGGCATGACAAACCCCGAGGTCCTGTACTTCCTGCACCAAGGCTATAAAAGCAGGTGTGTCCTCACTGTTACTCCCTCACCATCCCACTCGTTCTACGGTCTCCTCTCCCTCCCAGGACCCCGTATTCCAACCATGTCCGCCAACACCGTCACCGCGACTCTCAGCTTTTTCGCTCCTCCCGACAACGGCGAGAAGCCGTACTACTGGATAGACGACCTACCCGGCCGAGAACGCGCGAACTACAAGCGCGTTCCAAGCCCGTGCATATCGAGAACCTCCGCGGAAAGGAGGACTCCGTCTCCCTCGACACCGCCGGCTTCCAGTTCGGTCGCAAGGCCGTCGCGCACACTGCGTTCGACGCGAGGACAAGATCAAGGCGGAGTACTACCCCGAGTCCATCGCGCTCATCAAGGAGATCACCGGCGCCGCGCAGGTCGTGCCCTTCGACCACAGTGCGTGTCTCTTCCGCGGCGAGGCGCAGACTCTGACCTCCTCTCCTCCTCCTCCTCTCCTCCTCTCCTCCTCCTCCTCCTCGCAGCCGTCCGCCGCCGGAACCCCGCCGAAGCCGAGTCCTCCGCCGAGAAACGCCAGCCGGTCCCGTACCCGCACGTCGACCAGACCCCCGCCTCCGCACGGGACCGCGTCGAGCGGCACATGCCCGCGCCCGCCGTGACCGGCCTCCTCGCGAAGCGCTTCCAGATCATCAACCTCTGGCGGCCCATCGGGCGGCCCGCGCTCGACTGGCCGCTGGCGCTCTGCGACGCGCGCACGGTCGACGCCGCGCGGACCTCGTGCCGACGGACTTGAAGTACGCGGACCGGGACGGGGAGACGTACAGCGTGCAGTACCACGAGAGGTACGCGTGGAAGTACGTGCGCGGCCTGACTCCGGACGAGTTCGTGTTGATCAAGTGGTGCGTCGTTCTTGCGCGATGGCGCGAGGCTGGAGGCTGACGTGCAGGCAGCTTCGACTCGATCGACGATAGGTCGGTCGCTGCGTTGACGCCGCACACGGCGTTCGAGGACCCGACGACGCCGAAGGACGCCCCGTTCCGCGAGTCTATCGAGGTCCGCTTCTTGGTGTTCTACGACTGAGCATGGTCGGGGGGCGTCGAGACTACTGGCTACAGCACTCGCTGCAGATATATAGGCTTCTCGCTCTGTACACATGAAGAACATCCTAGCGTTCTCCCCTACTCTGCCTGCTTCCGCATGCGCACCCCCTCCATGCACGCCCGCCAGTACATCTTGAAGATCAAGTCCGGGAAAGACTGGCCCTCCTCCGTCGTCTCCGCAGCGCCGTCCCGCGTGGGCCGGTCCTCGAAAAGCGCGTCCAGATCCTCGCCGGAGCCGTCCGGGGCCTTACACAGGATCTTCCACTTTTTTGGTGTGAACCTGTCGATAATTTCCCGCAAATGGAACCGATGCGCGCGCATGCTCAGCAGCTTCGTGTGCCCGAGCGAGAAGGCCCTCGGGCTCGGCTCTATGCAGAGCCACAGGAGCTCCAGCTTCTCGAGCGGGGGCAGGCCCTCCTCCGCGCGCGTGGCGAGCGCTTCTTCGAGGACGCAGAGGATGGCGTGCATGTTCGCCGAGTCGTGCGAGATTGCGGCGACCACTCTGATCTCCGCCAGCGCGTGGGCGTGAAAGATGTTCGGGTAGAGCAGGTTGTCGATGAGGCCGTAGAAGACGTTCTCGAGGGGTACGAGCGCGTCGCCGTCGTATTGCGCGCAGTCGAGGGTGATAGACCGCAGCACGGAGAGCTCGCTGAAGATGTCGGGCCACGGGTTCGTCGCCGGGTCGTACGGGTCCACCGGCCGCAGGCAGTGGTGGCCGGGGCCCTCCTCGGCTGCCTCGACGAGGCGCTGCGCGGGTGGGATTTTCGAGTACCGGAGCACGGGGGGCCATAGAACAAAGAGCTCGGTGATCTTCTTGTTCACCTCCGAGGAGACCCGATGGTCTCCGTGGTTCGGATGCGACGCCGTGATCTGGATCTCGTCGCCCGATGATTCGTCGTCCGACACGTCGATGACGGAACGCGCCTCTTCTACCTCGTCGTCCATCATGTCGGCGAAGAGGCCATCTTCGAAGAACCCGAGCTCGGCGAGCTCTTCCTCCAGCTTAAACGCCATGGTTGGCTCTGGTAGCTCTCCGTCGTCGTCGTCGTCGGTGGTGGTAGCGTCCCTCATCTCCACATCTTCGTCGGGCGGCGCGCAGGACTTCGCCCGCTCCTCTTCCTCTTCCTCTTCGCGATCGCAATGATCACAGTGCCGGATAATGAGCTTCATAAACAGATTCGGTATTGCGCCGAGGATCGTGTCCAGCCCAGTCCCGTCCCGTCCGGTGTTCGCCTCCGAGTGCACATGGACGCTGAGGCCAAAGCGTTGATCAGAATCCACGATGGTTGATCCGAAAGGGTACTGGATGAACGCATCGGATAGATAGACCACATTCGTGTCCTCGTCGATCTGGTAGCCACCAACGAAGAGCTTAGACATCCGGGAGAGTATTCGTCTGCGGATGGACAGGTCCGAGTCGAGGAGGTAATCGTTCATCGTCTCCTTCGAGTCAACGACCTTGGTGTCGTACTCCGATGTCTCGAGGACAAGCGCCTTGATGCGAGGCGTCCGGAGGTATTTCAAGAGCGTGCTGGTGTATTCGTGTGTGGCCTTGATCCGCAGATCCCGCAACATATATAGCGAGAACGCTTCTGGCGTCCATGAGGCCGGGGGGACCGTGGGGTTGAGAAGTGATTCGGCTCCTGGCTGGGCATTGATCACAAGTCGAACAAGTCTCTCAGCGAAGGTCAAACGTAACGCCAGATCCGATGCTCGGGAGCCGTGCTTGGACGGGGAGAGGGGGTGTTCTATGTAAAGGAAGCGGAGTCTTTTCCACCATTCGGCCCGCATGGGCAGAGCGATGCCAGTGATGAGGACTTCGCTGAGCTTGGGGTGGAGATCAGCGGAATCTTCTAGAAGGAACGGGTTGTAGAACGATTCCTCTTCCTCCGCGTCTCTGTCTCCGTCCTCGACTTCATCTCCAACTTCTTGTTGGTCCCAGTACCAGTACGGCAGCCAGATCTCCAACGCCTTGAGCTCTGGCAGGGTAACGTCACAGAGCAGAGGTGCGATAGAAGAAAATGCCTTCAGTGATGAATGGGGTGGTGCTTGTATGGAACGGATCCGTGATGCCTCGGCGAGGAGCATAGCACAATGGGAAAGGTTGACCTTGGGGTCGAAAGAGAGGATGATGTCCACGGTACTTGGCGCTGCCCGTGCAAGGCGGTACTGGAGGGTGTCCTTGTCGAGGTGGATGCTGATCCTCCTCCACAGTTCGGGAGAGTCCGCCCCAGCCTTTCGCCACGAGCTACAGACGAGCATGAGATATACCCACGCCATGCCCGTCCAAGGCTTTGAGGGATGTCTGCAGGACTCTACACCGCAGTCAAGCCGGCAATCCCAAGAAGGCGACATGGCCCCGACAATCGCAAAGATCTCGGCCAAGACGGGAGGTGGAATCCGCAGGATCGGAGGTTGGGGAGGTTTGGGGGTCTCGACCACGGGTGAGGGGGTCCGAGGGTTCACAAGGATGAAGCGGTCATCGAGTTTGATCTGCTGCCCGTGACGTGCGCGCTTGGCGCCGGGTGTCCAGATGCGGAACTTGTCTGTGAAGAGCACAACGGTTGGATGACGAAGACGCAGGAGGGAAGGCCGCATCCACTCACCTGCAAATTTCCTCATGTTTGAAACAGAGGGGGGACGATGAGAGTCGATTAGGAGCGAGATGATTTCGACGGTCCTTGATATACACCCGAGCGTCGGGGTCCAGAATCACGTCGCGCACTGGGCGATTTGCACGGGGCTCCCAGTGCTACCACGCTCACCCGCGCATCGTGTGGGTTTATGAGGGCTAGAATGCTTGGTGCGTGTCAGAGTTGTGGCGACAATAACAGCAAAGCGCTCACGGTATTGTTCCCAAAAAGGCCACTATTGTTGCAGGCGAGCTTCTCCGGATCCTGCGAGAGCACGAACAATTCGAAAAGCGTCTGTACTGATCGTGCTAGCTGCCTCGAACGCTTTCGCGGTCATCTGGAAGCTATGGAGATGATCCGGGAGTCCGACAGCGTGGGAGATACGTAGATGCCTGCTTGTGAATCGGGCTTGAGGACGTCGACGTAAACGAAGGCGATGCTCAACACGTACCCAGAACGTACGTGGACGCGATGCCACCTGCATTCCTTAAATGAGTGTTAATGAAGAGACCTACAGTCGATGCAAAAGCATCTCGAGCCAGCTTGAGCACTACTGCTGGGGCAAATTTGTTCCCGCAAAGGTTGGTCGGGAGCGGCGAATAAACTTCGACCGGGCACGATCGCAACTTGCCCAGTGCGCGCAGGATCGACGGCCGTATGCGTTCAGCAAAAAATACAGCTATGCAGCAAAACCGCGATATATGAATGCTGTCGCAATGAAGAACAAAGCGTGTCGCAGAAGGCACCTGGTGTTGCCAGAGTTCCTTGCAATTGGAATGCAGTCCGCGCGCCTGTGCCCTGAGACTAACCATGACCATGTTGCATTTCGCCATTGAATCACCGGTCTCCTCTGCTTGTACACCTCGGGGTTCCAGCGAGCCATGAGAGACGCGTCTTCTCGTCGCGTGCAACCAACGTTTGGACGAGCGAGCCGACGTAGACCTGTCCGTACAGGAGGATTGAACACTGCAACGCCACGCATGCACGCTGACAGCGACTCACATGTACTGTATGCGGCAGAACACGTCCGGCGGATAGCACTTCACGTCGTAGAGGTCGACTGCACCGAATCTGTTGGCCGTAGTATCATACGGCAGAGGGGAGGGGGGTCTCCGTGAGGCCGGCTCCGCGACGGTTGCACGCCTGAGGGGTCGCTAGATCTGGCGTCGCGAAACTAGAGTAGACGCAGCGCGGACGCGGGGCAAACGTGCGGGGACATCGACGTACGAAGGAGAAGAGACAGAACAAAGGCAAGATTCGAAGAGCTCGCTGAGAGTTCGAAACCCTAACCCAAAGGCCCACAACGGCTTCTGCGGTCCGCAGGCCGCTCACTCTGCACGCTTTTCGTCGCTGTACATATGCACTGAGTATGATATTACTAGGATCCATAGCCGGATGGCGGCGTCGGTTGCAGCCCTTCGGGGCACTTGGGGTGCTGGCTCCGAGCTCCAAGCCTTCTGCCCGCGCCCAGCTGCGACTACAAGGCCACCGTCCAGGAGCGCGATCCGAGCCCGCGTTCACCGGCCGCACGCGCGAGTGACACCACGCTGCCCCGTACTAGTGCACGCCACTCTCCTCGACGACAAGCCCGGTCTCGACTACTACTTACGTGAGGCGTTCGTGTTCGCACCCGAGTGAGGGAGGCGCGCCCAACGTTTCTGGATCCAGGCTCCGAGTAAATATGTGCGCTGACCGGAGCGCCGAAGACGGCGCGCGGACGTGAAGAGAGGACGGGCCATCTCCTCCACTGTCCACACCTCCATGTTGCCCCCTGCGCTTGCGTCAGTCATCCTGCCTCCTCGCCCCCTCTACAGCTGCGGCCCGGCTCAGCTACGTAGGTTTTTGTCTCCCCGCGTCCTCAACGCCCGGACGACACTTGCTCTGTCTCCAAAACGTCCCTATGCTCAGGATGCGGCTCGCGTCCATGGTATCACGCTCATTCCCCGACCCGCTGGTTTACGCTATACTACCGCCGACGTTCGCGGAAGACGGGCATATCTAGCGAGGAATGGACTGCCATAAAAGTGAGTTCATCCCCTCGTCGCTGCCAACAGTGCTCACCCGCCCGTTCGTTCTTATGTATGGAACCCCAGTACGACGTCCGTGCACTCACTCGCGTGGCTGGCCTCAATTTCTGTGACGACTTTCGTCATCATGACAAGCAGAAGCTCGAATGGATCAGGCGCGAGGTGAGTGCTTCCATTACTCTATGCACAGTGGAAAGACAACACCCTCACAGGCTACAGCCCGGCACCCAGTTCTCCGGGACTACGAGAACCAGTGGCCGGTGATGATAATGGTGGGAATGTACATGTCCGACGCGAGGAAAACTGCGCGCAAGGAGGCACCCTTTCCCGGGGCTTTGGAGGAAGGGCGGCGTACGTGGAGGTCTCCGCGACGCCAAAGCCGGTGCGACCCCTCGCGCTGAAGTTCAAGACTCTGCCCTGGTCCCGTTCGCAGGGTCGGCCTCGCAAAATCATCCTCCGGCCCATACCAGATCTTGAGAGAATCCATGACCACGTCCGCAGAGCCGCAGGCCTCAAGCCACACATTTGACCAGATACGGGTGAGCTGCCCTTCGTGCGCCCCCCTTGCCACCGTGCTCAGCGTTCTGCAGGCCGACGTTGGCCGCTCATTGACGCGCTCGAGCTCGACCCCTGGATCAACTGGACAAGACAGGACAGGACAAGATCGGTCGTTTCTGCGGCAGGTGAGCACGTCCTTGACCTTGTCGCGCGCGAAATGGAGACGTACGATTTCCGCAGATCGCAGAGAAGCACCCTGTTCTCGAGAAGCACGAGAGCCAATGGCCGGCACTCATATTAGCGAGATTTCACTTGACAGTCCTCAGGAGACGGGTGCGTGAGGCACAGGCGCGCAAGATGGCACGGGCACCCAAGATGGATGCACTCCCAAAAGAGACGGGCACTCCATGTACGTTTCCGCTCTTCTCAGGCCGTTTCCTTTACTCAGAAGTTTATCCATGCGAGCTAGTTACCCTGGACATTTAGAAACCCTCGTCCCTGTTGGCGTGGTCTTCACGGGTCGACTGGTGACCTACTTTCTTGCACATGGTCATATTCCATCACCCGGTTGCGTTGAATGGGAAGTTTAGTAAGGGGGTGTAATTCTGCGGTATATCATCGAGCAACTTACACTATCTAGGGAATAAACCAACGTGGCGTTGGGTGTATGCATGTGCGTCTTCGGGTTGAACATCTTGGCAAACGAGACTACATACAGGCATATTGTCCCAGCCTGTCGAACGGGAGGTCGGCGATCAAGAAGTTCTCCGCTGGAGAGGCATACATTGTCGCGGACAGTGACCTAGGTTCGCCTGCACAAGCTTCTCCTGCCCCGTCCTAACACTATGCACATTGACACTGATACCCCCGGCTTCACTCATGAGGAGTGATCATTTTTTTCGACTGAAGTTTCCCGTCGTGCGCGAGGTGAAGATTCACGTCCCCCACAGATCATTGAGAAGTGTCAGGTTCTCAGAACATACGAGAAGCAGTGGCCGGCAGTATTGCAAGAGGAATAGCACCCTGCCAAACGAGATGGACATACGGCCAAGGCGTGTCAAGACTACGCCACCCCCGCCACGGTACATCCAGGTCTATACGAAGTATTTCTTCAAAAATCCAAGCGTCGCCTTGAACGCACCCTCCATCCCCGCCTTGACATCGGGGTTGCTCTGGGGCCCGCCACACAGATCAGCATGACCTCCAGCATGCGCCACAGCCGGCACTCACCAAGTCGCCTCTGACGGCGAAGCCGTGCGTGCACCCAGGCCAGTACGTGCGCTCGTACCCGGGCGCGTACTTGCCTCCGCCGAGTATCTCGTCCGCCACCTTCTGCGCCTCGGGCGGGAACGGCGGGTCGACCTCGCACGTGTTCAGCAGCAGCGGCGCCTCCGCGAGCGCGCGGTATCTCTGCCCCCTCGTCAGCACGGACTGCCCCAGCTGCTGGCTGAGCGCACCCACGCACCTCCAGGTCCTCGGGCGCCTTGAGGAACGTCGGGTGCGCCGCCGTGACGACGGCGGCCTCGCGCGCGAACGCGAGGTCGAAGCCGATGCGGCCCCCATGCAGTACCCCGTCGTCGCGAACCGCGCGCGCGGCTCGTCGTGGAGGAGCGCGGTGCGCACGGCGCGCGTGCGTGCGAGCACGAGGTCGGTCGGCTGGCGCGCGTGCCACGCGTCCAGGGAGAAGCCCTCGTGGCGCCCAGTGAACGCGAGCTCGGACGGGACGGGGTCGCCGGCGAAGTAGTCGACCATGACCGTCCGGTAGCCGCTGCGCGCAAAGGAGTCCGCGAGGAGCTGGGAGGTGAGGGTGAGCGCGTGGACGACGAGGCGCAGGAGCAGGAAAGCGACGGACTTGGGAATTGGGGCTCAGCACCCCGAGCGCGTCGGGCAGGAAGAGGAGGATCTTGGTCGTGTCGTGCTCGCCTGGCGGAGCAGCGACATAGCAATCGATGCCGCCGATCCTGGTGAAGGTTCCTGGGTATGGAGTGAGTCGATAGTACTTTGGACCTGCAGAGGACGCTGGAGTTTTTACCCTCCGGAGTCCCTTCGTGGCTGACGCCTATATGCGCGCTGTCAGCTTCGTCTTGACGATGCACATACACCTCAGACGCACCTGTGATGCAATGCTCGCACATGGCCATGATTTCTAATGACAGAGCTATGTCTGGAAGAGCGCGATTGCTAGGTCGCCGTCTTCAGCAATTATATAGGCTCTCCTCAGCCCCGCTTCAGCTTGGGTATCCACTGCATCTCTGGTGATTTCACCTAACAGGCAATGCGCATCATGGGCCTCTTAGCTGAGTAAGTACCTTAGTAATGACCTGTCCTTGGTATTCCGCAATGAGCAGTCATAATCGCGCCTTGGGGGCGTCAAGCTTCTCAAGATCGCTCGGGAAGGCCGCGGCAATGTCGTCGCGCGTACGTGCTTCTGGCGCGACATGAATGTACGCAGTCGGCACTTGATTAATCAGCGACCAGCACGTACGTCTTGCGATATCCCATGCGCGTGAGTTCCAACGATGTGGCAGATATTTATGAGAGGCAAGTACGTACCAGCAATGCGCACCATGCCGGAGCCCCGCCTCACTGAGAGCGGCACCTCCCCCCTCTTCGCGCGCGTCGCTGGAGGCCTGTTCATGAGTTTGTGCTGGTGATAATGTGTCACCATTGATGTCATTGACAGTCGAAAACCTGGGGGGATAACGCTTAGGCGACGTCGTCACAGGAGAGTGGGAGTGGTATGTAGTGCAGGACATATGCAATGAGAACGAATGACGGAATCTAAAATATTGAGATACCAAAGCGTGGAAGACGAGAGCGAGGTCGATACAGTGATGCAAGGACGACATGGTGGAGCCTTACGACAAGGGGTGCGCCGTTCTCGACAGTGTCGGCGTGCTGATGGTCGTCCTCCACTATAATGGTGGTCTAGAAGACAGTTTCAGTCGAAAAAAAATGATCACTCCACATCAGCGAAGCCATGGGTGAGTGTTAGAACGGGACAGAAGCTGGTGCAAGCGAACCCACGTCACTGTCCGCGACAATGTATGCCTCTCCAGCGGAGAACTTCTTGATCGCCGACCTCCCGTTCGACAGGCTGGGACAATATGCCTGTATGTAGTCTCGTTTGCCAAGATGTTCAACCCGAAGACGCACATGCATACACCCAACGCCACGTTGGTTTATTCCCTAGATAGTGTAAGTTGCTCGATGATATACCGCAGAATTACACCCCCTTACTAAACTTCCCATTCAACGCAACCGGGTGATGGAATATGACCATGTGCAAGAAAGTAGGTCACCAGTCGACCCGTGAAGACCACGCCAACAGGGACGAGGGTTTCTAAATGTCCAGGGTAACTAGCTCGCATGGATAAACTTCTGAGTAAAGGAAACGGCCTGAGAAGAGCGGAAACGTACATGGAGTGCCCGTCTCTTTTGGGAGTGCATCCATCTTGGGTGCCCGTGCCATCTTGCGCGCCTGTGCCTCACGCACCCGTCTCCTGAGGACTGTCAAGTGAAATCTCGCTAATATGAGTGCCGGCCATTGGCTCTCGTGCTTCTCGAGAACAGGGTGCTTCTCTGCGATCTGCGGAAATCGTACGTCTCCATTTCGCGCGCGACAAGGTCAAGGACGTGCTCACCTGCCGCAGAAACGACCGCATCTTGTCCTTGTCCTGTCTTGTCCAGTTGATCCAGGGGTCGAGCTCGAGCGCGTCAATGAGCGTGCCAACGTCGGCCTGCAGAACACTGAGCACGGTGGCAAGGCGGGGGCGCACGAAGGGCAGCTCACCCGTATCTGGTCAAATGTGGTGGGCTTGAGGCCTGCGGCTCTGCGGACGTTGGTCATGGATTCTCTCAAGATCTTGGTATGGGGCCGGAGGATGATTTTGCGAGGCCGACCCTGCGAACGGGGACCAGGGGCAGAGTCTTGAACTTCAGCGCGAGGGGTCGCACCGGCTTTGGCGTCGCGGAGACCTCCACGTACGCCGCCCTTCCTCCAAAGCCCCGGGGAAAGGGTGCCTCCCTTGCGCGCAGTTTTCCTCGCGTCGGACATGTACATTCCCACCATTATCATCACCGGCCACTGGTTCTCGTAGTCCCGGAGAACTGGGTGCCGGGCTGTAGCCTGTGAGGGCGTTGTCTTTCCACTGTGCATAGAGTAATGGAAGCACTCACCTCGCGCCTGATCCATTCGAGCTTCTGCTTGTCATGATGACGAAAGTCGTCACAGAAATTGAGGCCAGCCACGCGAGTGAGTGCACGGACGTCGTACTGCGCAGGGTTCCATACGCAAGAACGAACGGGCGGGTGAGCTCTGTTGGCACCGACGAGGGGGATGAACTCACTTTTATGGCAGTCCATTCCTCGCTAGATATGCCCGTCTTCCCGCGAACGTCGGCGGTAGTATAGCGTAAACCAGCGGGTCGGGGAATGGGCGTGATACCTTGGACGCGAGCCGCATCCTGAGCATAGGGACGTTTTGGAGACAGAGCAAGTGCCGTCCGGGCGTTGAGGACGTAGGGAGACAGAAACTTGCGTAGCTGAGCCGAGCCACAGCTGTAGAGGGGGCGAGGAGGCAGGATGACTGACCCAAGTGCAGGGAGTAACATGAAGGTACGGAGGAGAGTCCCGCTCCCGAGTCCCAGGCTCGGGATCTGCTTTCCGCGTCGTTGAACAGACTCAGGTCCTTGGGATCCTTGAGGAACGTCGGGCGCGCCGCCCTCACCCAATGTCGGGTGCGAACGCGAACGCCTCCCATATAGCAGCCACCCCGCCGTCACGAAACGAATCCGGGCATTTCGTCTAGGAGAGTGGCGTGCAATGCGCGCATGGGCGCCAGCGTGATGTCGCTCGCGCGTCCGGCCCCCGGCGAACTTCAAGGGCTCGGATCGTGCCCCACGGTGGCCATGTACTTGTAGTCGCAGGGCGCAGGCACAAGGCTTGGAGCTTGGAGCTTGGAGAGCGACGGTTGCGACTCAGCGCTCAGCACCCCAAGCGCCCCGAAGGGGTCGCGAGCTGGATGCGCTACGTACTAGTACTACTCAACGCCGCCAATCCCGGTGGAGCGTACAGCAACGAGAAGCGTGCGGACACCGCGAGCCGCCCCGACTCTTCGGTGATCGCGGACGCACCGAGCAAACCATCACTGCGAAGATGCTCCGCGCGCAGGGTGCGCTCTGGCTACGTTGACCAGCACGCCATCCTGTCTCGGCGGATCACACGACATTTCCAACATTGGCGTTGAAGCACAACAACACAGTGGATTGAAGGTGGTATAACAGAGGGGCGGACGCGAGAACATATGAGGCTGACTCGCGCACCCAGCAGCTGTCCTACGTAGAGTACTTCTGAGAACACAGGCGAGCCACTGGATCTTATGCGTCTTCTGCGCTGACTGAGGGATCCCGCTTCGAGCTTAAGGGTTTGCGGGTGTCCGAGAGATGATGATAGGAGCAAACGGGGAGACAAGATGAAGCGGGCACGCAGAGTAACGACACGACCCCTCGCCAAGGGCTCCGCCTGCATCGCAGCCATCCGTCGACTCGCGGGTATCCGACATGGAGCTGCGCCCACAGTTCTGAAGCGGCTATACCTCGCGGTTGCAATACCAACCACCCTCTACGCAGCCGACACTTTCCTCCTCCCCGACCGACAAGGACGAGATGGCAGTAGGATACGGGGATCGGTCGGTGCAGTCCGAAAGCTGGCCACGTTACAGCGTCAAGCACTACTGCTCATCACCGGGGCGATGCGCACCACCGCAACGGACGTGATGGAGGTCCATACCGGCCTCCTACCCTTCCGCCTACTCGTCGACAAGCTCTGCCACAGGGCGACGGTTCGAATGTGCACCCTCCCCAAGTCCCACCCGCTCCATCCCCACATCGCGCGCGCCAGCAAGCTCACTCCGAAACGACACCACTCCGCTCTCCACACGCTTTTCCGCGCTTATGGCGCCACACTAACCCCCGACACGACAGAAACTATCCTCCCAGTCCGCACCCACCCGGCGTGGCGCGCGCGCGTATGCATCAGCATTGCAAACTCGAAAGACGAAGCGGAACTAGAGGACGAGAAATGGGAGCGTAAGTTAGGGGTGAAAATATACACTGACGGGTCGGTGATCGACGGGAAAGTCGGTGCAGCAGCAGTACTGATAAGGCCAGGATGCCCAGGACGACCAAAAATCCTACGCTACTGCCTCGGCCCCGCGACGTCCCACCACGTCTTCAATGCGGAGTCGAGCGGAGTGGTCATGGGAGTACATATGACACGTCAAGAAACCCAGCTCCCCGGCCGCCCCTCTATCGCGCTCGACAATCAGGCTGCCATGCGGGCAACACAATCAAGAAAGCCGAAACCAGGTCACTACCTCACCGACCACATCCACGCGGAGCTCCGCAAGGCAGCCGCGAAACACCCCAGTGCCAAACCGACAACGCTTCGATGGGTCCCCGGCCATCTGGGCATAGCAGGGAACGAGCTCGCGGATGAACACGCCAAGCGCGCAGCTGCGGGGGATGTCAGCAACCCGAAGAGGCTTCCGGCTTGCCTCAACAAGCCACTCCCTGCATGCGCGGCAGCCCTACGAGCCACACACCTCACCCTCCTGCAAAAAGAGGCCAAAACGAGCTGGAGCGTGTCCCCACGCTACCCCAAGACCAACCAGATCGACCCCTCACTGCCCTCCAAGTCCTTCCTCGACCTCATCACACCGCTCTCCCGCCGCCAGGCGAGTATACTCATCCAGCTCCGCACGGGCCACGCTCCCCTCCACGCACACCTCCACCGCATACGACGCGCGGACACCGACATCTGCCCAGCCTGCGGAGTGGGGGCCGAAACGGTGGTACATTTCCTGCTCCGCTGCCCCGCGTACTCGCGCGAGCGAATGACCCACATTCATATGAAGCTAGGACGGAAAGGCGGGAAACTTGAATACTTACTGAGCAATGCAGCCGCACTCCCACAGCTCTTCGCATACATTGATGCAACAGAACGGCTCCGGCAGACATTCGGGGCCCTTACCAACCCCGCCGGCGATGGCACCCCCGGAGCCCCGCAACCGCCCTCGACACCTGCAGACCGACCAGTACACCCGCGAGCAGCACCTCCACGAAGACCTCCCGCACCGACACGTCAACAACAGCGTGCCACCCCGCCGCGCGCATCACCAGGCGCCCCGTGCGCGTTGGCACCCGGTAGACAAACTCACGAGGCCAACAGACAGAGTACCCGCCCCCCCCGTCCCCTCCCATCCCGTCCCCATACGCACTGCGCACTCTGATACCTACCGGACTGATGGGCAACTAGCACGGGAGAAATGCACCGTGACACACCCGCACGAAGAAGGAGATCCCGAGACGGCGTCCGTCCGGGCTCGCTCGACCACCCGCAGCGCTTGGGCAACGCACGCGAGAGTAAATAGGTGGCGGGCGAGCCGTCCGGCGACCAGAGTCGAAGGAACTCCCACACCGCAAGCTGCGCGGCGCACGATGTGACTCATCCCCCCCGTATCTCAGTCTTTGCCGTATAGTAGCACCATCCCCAGCACTCCCCGCGCCACGCTCACCCCTCCAGCTCGATCCACCTCCCTTGCTCATCCCAATCGTTCCGTATCGTTCACCCCGTATCGTTCACCCCGCCATGCCCCCTCCCCTTCACTTCACACCCGCATCCATGGTCGCTACCATCCCTCCCCTCCCACCCCAAACCACCACTCTCACCCGCGAGGCCGCGACCACCTCGCTCCAGAGGCCAGAAAGCACGACTTGGAGTAGGCACTCCCCCGGCGTCCTCAAACCGCGGCGGAAATTGGCGGACCCGGGCAGGCGGAGCGGAGGTCACGTATGGTACCTCCCGGCACTCACCCCCACTCTCGCAACCGCACCCACTGCCCCCTTCACCATCCACTCACTCCATTTCGACTGCACGATGGCTAGATACCTCTGGCTCACTCTCCGGCCCCAGCGGGGCCGACACGTCATCGGTCCCGTATACGCATTCCTATTCTCGCTAGCTAGATTACTGTACGTAGCGCCTACCATAGGGCTCGGCCCTCCAGGGCGTTAAACAGGAGACAAACAAACAAACAAACAAACGACACGATGAGGGAGGATATCTAAAAGTCCAAGGTACGGACTAGCTCGCATGGATAAAATTCTTAGTGCTTGAAGGTGATGGCAAAAGTGGAGGGGAAACGCACTTGGAGTGTCCGTCTCTTTCCGGATCCTGTCCGCCCGTGCCCTGTAACTCTCCGGGTACCTGAGGGCTGCCAAGTGCAATCTCGCTAATATGAGTGCCGGCCATTGGCTCTCATACTTCTCGAGAACCGGGTGCTTCTCTGCGATCTGCGGAAATCGTACGTTTCCACTTCGCGCGCGCGATAAGGTGAACGACGTGCTCACCTGCTGCCGAAACGACCGAATCTTGTCCTTGCCCTGTTTTGTCCAGGGGATGCACGGATCGAGCAGCGCGTCAACGAGTGTGTTGATGTCGACCTGCATAACACTGAGCACGGTGGCAGGACGGGGCGCACGAAGGGCAGCTCACCCGTATCCGGTCAAAAGTGGCGGGTCCCAGGCCCGCGGCGCTGCGGATGCTGGCCAGGGTGCCTCCCAAGATCTTGGTATGGGGCCGGAGGATGGTTTTGCGAGGCAGACCCTGCGAACGGGGACCAGGAGCAGAGTCTTGAACTTCAGCGGGAGGGGTCGCTCCGGCTCCGACGTCACGGGAACCACGTACGCCGCCCCTCTTCCAAGGTCCCGGGGGAAGGGTGCCCTCCTTGCGCGCAATTGTCCTCATGCCGAGCAGGTACGATCCCACCATTATCATCGCCGGCCACTGGTTCTCGTAGTCCCGGAGAACCGGGTGCCGGGCTACAGCCTGTTGAGGGCGTTGTCCTTCCAGTGTGCACTGTGCGCATAGAACAATCGAAGCACTCACCTCGCGCCTGATCCATGCGAGCTTCTGCTTGTCATGTAGACGAAAGTCGACACGGATATCGAGGTCAGCCACGCGGGCGAGAGCGCGGACGTCGAACTGCGAAGGGTTCCATACGCAAGAACGAACAGGCAGGTGAGCACTGTTGGCAGCGACGAGGGCAATGAACTCACCTGTATGGCATTCCATTCCTTGCTAGATATGCCCGTCTTCCCGCGGACGTCGGCGGTAGTATAGCGTAAACCAGCGGGTCGGGGAATGAGCGTGATACCATGGACGCGAGCCGCATCCTGACATAGGGACGTTTTGGAGACAGAGCAGGTGCCGTCGGGCGTTGAGGACGTAGGGAGACAAAAACTTGCATAGCTGAGCCGAGCTAGAGCTGTGGACGTGGGGAGGAAGCAGAGTTACAGACCTAAGTGCAGGGAGCAACATGGAGGTACGGAGGAGAGCGGTCACGTCCGGCGCGTGGGTGTCGCATCTGCCTCCCGTGCACGGCGCCTACGCGAGCTCGCCTTCGGCCGCGCGCCACCCTCGACATTGTTTACCCCGGGAGGAATGAGATCAACGGCGTGCAGAGTCGATCAGTGCGGCGGCGACACCGTGTCTCGCCCGACTGAACGCAGCGCACAAGGCAATTCTTGATACATTATTCCGAGTAAAGACAGTACACACAGAGAGCGGCGGGGTAGGGGGTACGTCCATGCGCCATGCGTACATCAGAGTACAGACACAATAAGCAAGACAAGTAATACAGACACCCAAAGGCGGATGTTGTTCGTGAACCGTAGACTAAATGGTACCTGTGACTGTCCGATCGAAAGATCGCCAAAATCCAAAGACATCGAAGTGAGAGGAACGCTGGAAGCAGAAAATGTTCGGAGGAGTGTGTGGGGTGTGCCCGTGGTATCCCAGGGAGAGGGTATGTATGAGTCCGTGGCGTGAGTGGCGTGAAGGAGAACCCGAGCATCGCGAGACGCGCGCGCGGTGGCAAAGCCTGCCTTATGCGAGGAGCGCAGCACCGACGACGACAGCAGCGCCGGCGAACGCGAGCTCGCGCGCGGCCCCGAACGCGACAGCGCCGTTCGAGTGGTTGCCTGCTGCAGACGTGGTCGACGCTGACGATGTGCTGGAGGAAGGCGCGGAGGGTGCTTTCTGTAAGCGTCCAGTCAGCCCGTGCTCTTTTATCGACGGAACCATGCAGGAGGGGCGTACCGTAGAAGTGCCCGAAGTACTAGAAGTGCCCTGCGAGCGACCAGATGTCGCGCTTGCAGTAGACGACGCCGCCGACGTGAGCGCGTTGGGTCCCGACGCGGTCGAGCTGACGCGCGAACTCGACCCGGTGCTCGACGAAGTCGTGGTTGCAGACACAGCGGTGGACGAGGTCGTGCCAGCAGGGACACCCGGGGCGGAGATGGAATGGCCGTTCGCAACCGTGTTCGCCTTCGCGCATTGGGACTTGGCGGGTGCGGGGTGTGGGTCAGGCGTCGTCGGCTGCCCTGGTGGAACGTCGAGGTGCCGTACACGCCCATCGGCTGCAATTTGGGGTGAGGACCAGGTCATAGGCACCTAAGTCTGGGAGAGAAATACTCACCTCACCGGAGTCGCCCTGGCACGAGTCGAAGGAGCCGGTGGAGTAGTCCCCGGGCATGTTCCAGAAACAGCCCATGACGTCGTAGATGTGCTCGCACATCGCGGGTGCCTTGGGGCCATCCTTGCACGCGCGGATGCAGAACTCGTTCGCGGAGATGAAATTCTATGAACAACGCGCACGCTTCAGCACGCTGCGAAAGTCTCAAGATCGGGAGGAGAAAGAAGGGGCGCCGCCCGGTATTCTTGGCACGGTGGCGATGCGTGCAGTGCAATGGAGTCGCAAGACGCCGCGAGGGTACTCACCGTCCACTCGTGCATCTGGTGGTACGAACCACCGAACGCGTTGGAGAAGACCAGACCGCCGATGGGGTTGCCTACGAAAGCGGCTTGAGCGCGTTGTAGAAACACATTTCGTTTGAACAGTACACACCGTTGCCGTCCGCGCCGTGCGGATCGAGTTCACCACCTTCGTCGCCCGCAGGAATGTTAATCTTGGTCAGGTCGCCTACGCCCGTAACCTGTACATAATCCGGGGTCTGGACGAAGTGCGCGCCGGAGATGGTGCCGTCCGGGATGAGGCGAGTGCCGTGCCCAGCCTGGACACACCACGCGATCTCGATGCGCTCCGTGTTGCCGACAACAGAGCCCGGGCCGGGTTCGGGAGGCCCGAAGATGCAGAAGTCCTCCAGCGAGTTGACTGAATGCGCGCGAATGTAAGCGTGGGGGCACGGGGAACGCGCACGCGGAGAAGGGGACCGAGAAGACACGCACTGTAGACGTTCTGGCACATCGACGACTGGTTGCTCCTGGACCCGCATTGGTTCGTGCCGGTCTGGCCCTTCTCGGACTGCTTGGGCGTGTCGTCGGGGGTGTACGTCGCGGAGTAGGTCTGCGCGAGCGTGACGGAAGCGAAGGAGAGGAGAGCGGCCGAGCGGAACATCGTGGACTTGATCCTGACCGTGCGGGAGTGGCAGGGAGCCCGACGAGAACCCGGGTGGAATGTGGAGGGAGGGGAGCGAAGACGTGCGGCGAGGCCCGATCCATGTCTTTATCGCCTGTACGTGCCCCGCCGGGATCTGTTGTGGTGTCCGATGGCGCGTCGGGGACGGTTTCAACTCGCTGGGTGACCAGATGGCGAGACGGCGGGAGGGCCTGGAGCATGGTGCAGATCGGTCAGGTGTCCCTGAGGCCTGAGGTGTCCCTGTCGGGACTAGCGACGTCGCTCTGATACTCGTGCCCACCTGTCCCTCACGGGATATCAGTTTCCCAGACTCGAGTGATCCGGGGGGCCGTGCCGAGTCTCCTTGACTCAAAATCCCACCCACCCCCAACTATTAGTTAAACTACAGGGTGCTTTCCTTACAGGGAAGTATTCGACGCCTCTACTAAGTATGGCATATATCCAGTCTCCCCCCGTATGTTTTCCCCGCCCGGCCCCGTGATGTCCCGAGTCCCGACCCCTCCGCCATCAGAGCCCCGCCCCTCCTACGTCATTTCCCGCGCCGGCGCCGCGCGCTCTGCCGACTGCCGCCCCATCACTGCCCCGGCATGCCTGGACACCGGCGCCCCATGCCCCACCACCCGTGCTCGTCGTCCCCAACAGCGAGCTCGCTGTCCCTACACCCTGCCTCCGTTCTTTTTGCAATCTACTTGTATTTCAAATGCGCACCTAATGACACACAATGCAATAGCTACACTTGCCTGAGTGTGCCTGCACTGAGCCCATATACCCCCCAAAATGCGTGCAATATAGGAACATATACAAGCATTCAATTGATCGGCCAAGTTCTTCAACATATAGTTGTAGATGAGAGCTGCTCTAGTATAAAATCGCAGGTGGATAGCTAGAGGGGTGCAGGTATGATGTCATATGTTATTTCAGAATGACATACTTCACAGTGACATGGTATATACATGTGTCGTCTTATATACACCCAGGATCGTACCTAGAGATCATTGAGAGCGCATTGAAAGAAGAAGCAAGTGAATAGATGATGTTTTGGTGAAGATGTGATATGTGTTCAGAAGGGGGTATTGCATTGAAAATGCGGCCTTCATATGTTCTTGTGCAGACCTCTGATCACTTTACATCTTGTTGCATTACGTTCATATGTATGTGGAGAGCTCAGATCGTCAGTTTGGTGCTTATCGGTGAAGGATTGAACACAGGCCATGGTATGTCATTATTCTATGACATAGAGTATAGCGATATGACATGTGCTCCGATTATTGTTATGAAAAGCGGAATAAGACGGGGTGTTCTTCTGCTCAACGATGCAGAATGAATCTCGAGAAACGATCGAGTAGTCGCTGAGATATGTCAGATGGGTCTAGAACGGCAGGTTGCACAAAGAACGCCCTTGAACCACCTACAGCACTTTGCACACTCTAAGCTCACCTGACATATCTCAGCGACTACTCGATCGTTTCTCGAGATTCATTCTGCATCGTTGAGCAGAAGAACACCCCGTCTTATTCCGCTTTTCATAACAATAATCGGAGCACATGTCATATCGCTATACTCTATGTCATAGAATAATGACATACCATGGCCTGTGTTCAATCCTTCACCGATAAGCACCAAACTGACGATCTGAGCTCTCCACATACATATGAACGTAATGCAACAAGATGTAAAGTGATCAGAGGTCTGCACAAGAACATATGAAGGCCGCATTTTCAATGCAATACCCCCTTCTGAACACATATCACATCTTCACCAAAACATCATCTATTCACTTGCTTCTTCTTTCAATGCGCTCTCAATGATCTCTAGGTACGATCCTGGGTGTATATAAGACGACACATGTATATACCATGTCACTGTGAAGTATGTCATTCTGAAATAACATATGACATCATACCTGCACCCCTCTAGCTATCCACCTGCGATTTTATACTAGAGCAGCTCTCATCTACAACTATATGTTGAAGAACTTGGCCGATCAATTGAATGCTTGTATATGTTCCTATATTGCACGCATTTTGGGGGGTATATGGGCTCAGTGCAGGCACACTCAGGCAAGTGTAGCTATTGCATTGTGTGTCATTAGGTGCGCATTTGAAATACAAGTAGATTGCAAAAAGAACGGAGGCAGGGTGTAGGGACAGCGAGCTCGCTGTTGGGGACGACGAGCACGGGTGGTGGGGCATGGGGCGCCGGTGTCCAGGCATGCCGGGGCAGTGATGGGGCGGCAGTCGGCAGAGCGCGCGGCGCCGGCGCGGGAAATGACGTAGGAGGGGCGGGGCTCTGATGGCGGAGGGGTCGGGACTCGGGACATCACGGGGCCGGGCGGGGAAAACATACGGGGGGAGACTGGATATATGCCATACTTAGTAGAGGCGTCGAATACTTCCCTGTAAGGAAAGCACCCTGTAGTTTAACTAATAGTTGGGGTGGGTGGGATTTTGAGTCAAGGAGACTCGGCACGGCCCCCCGGATCACTCGAGTCTGGGAAACTGATATCCCGTGAGGGACAGGTGCTCGTGCCGGCTTCAGGAAGCAGTATATGCGCGAAAGCTGAAGTCCTGTGAATCGTCGGGGTGGATGTGGGTATGTGCGCGGAGAAATGCCGACATCCCGTTGAAAACATGCGGTCGCCGTCGCTGTGTTTTCCAGGCTGTTGGTAGATAAGAGGAAGAGTTGTGGTTGAGGGATGTTCCTGGATGATGGAGAAAACCCACCATGCATCATGCATCCTCGATCAAAGCAGTTCGCGACATGCGCGCTTATCTACGAATCTAGACATCCTTGCTCGTCGACTCGTGCACACGCTCCGGGATCGCCTCCGGTAGAGGAGGTGAATGAACTGCCCTCTCTCTCTCTCTCAAAGGAACGATCTCTTGGTAGTCACGAGGCATTTATGAACAGGAAGCCAGATAAAATGCCGGCATCGACAGCGACGACTACTCTGAAGCACGCGCGCCAAGACTATAACGGAATATTGGATTACAGGACCGTGCAGCGGTGCACGCGCACCAAGCCGCCGTCCACGAAGTACATAGTAGCTAAATCGTGGCATACACCTTATCAGAGCGTTACCAAACATTATCAGCGCCGGTCAGCGCATCGTACGACATCAGCCCAAGAGTGCAGAGCGGTAAGAGCAGCAGCAAGGGAACATGAAAAGGGCGGAGCGAGAGAGGGCGAGCAGCGCTCAGCCACAGAACTCGAGCCCGGGGCAGCCGATAGCGGTACCAAACACTGGGGTGCAAAAAAGGCGGGTCAGCGAACGATCGACATGAGACAGGGGCATGGCGGATTAGCCACCCCCAAGGAAGAAAGAGAGGGAAAGAGAAAGAAGAGACACGCACGGGAGCCGTCGACCTTCGCGATCGCGAGCAGCGCCTGGAAGACACCGCCCAGACCCTCGCCGGCGAGCAGGCCGGCCGAGAGCGCGAACATGTACATCTCGTAGCTCGCCGGGTTGCGCAGCGCCCACACATAGTTGAAGATCGAACCCGCCGCCCTGTGCGCACACCACACGTCGGTCAGCCTGAACGAGTGTGCAAAGTGGATATGGGAGGGATACGCACATCGCAATGGAGTAATACACCTGCGGGACGACGAAGGCGAGGCCGACCGCGTTCCAGTTCGGGACGTAGCCCCAGTACTTCTTCGGGAGCCAGAGGTACTTGACGACGACGCTAACGGCCGCGAAGATCGCCAGACCGATCGCGGTGTACCCAGACGAGGATGGGATGGGGAGGTTGGGCGCGACGACGGCGGAGGCGACGGCGGACCACGCCGCGACGGACGGCGCGCCGTACGTGCACTTGCCGTCCTCGGGGAGGTGGATGATGCACGGCGCAGAGGAGGTGAAGAGGATGAAGAGGCCGACGTTGAGGAAGCACGCGACGAAGGCACCGCAGAGCTGCGCGATGAACTGGTTGCGCGGCTTCGCGCGGAGGAGATAGCCGGTCTTAAGGTCCCCAGTCATGTCCGTCGCCTGCGCGGCGGAGCCAGCAGCGATAGTACCCGCGGTGAGATTGATTGTCTCGCCCGCGACAATCGAATATCCGGCGCCCTTGGCGATTCCACCGAAGATAAGCTGCGTGGCCTTCGCTACGGTGGAGACGGGGTTGACATCGGTCGTGCCGGAAGACTGGACACCGATGAAGGAGAAGAGGAAGCCGAGGAGGAGCGAGAGGATGGCTTCGCCGACGTTCATGGAGAAGAGCTTGGCTTGGATCGCGAGACACATGATAATAGAGCCGATGAGGCCAGACACCCACCACCAGGTAGGAACACGGTCCGCCTTGGGCGAAAGGTCCTCATCCTGATCGGCGTCGTATTCGGGGTCTTCACGGAACCACGAGATCGGGTTCCAGCTGACGTTGGCCTGGCGCATGGCAGTGATCATGGGGCCCGAGTTCATGCCTAGGTCCACGAAAGAGTAAACAAGCATCATGAGAACACCGGGCCAGATAAGCCAGTAACGGGGGGAGGGGTGGGTGGTGTAGAGGCTGGGGTCGCTAAAGGACAGTGCATTGTACGAGACAAGCGGGAACTCGTCCGAAGCCGCCCGGCCGAACGCGAGGCCATTCTTGACGAGGGACGGAGCGACTGGGAGATATCATCAGACATGTATACTAGATGGATGTGACTACCATTGACTTACTGATACCCCAGGCAAGAATAGAACCGCCGAAGAAGCTCCAAGATGCGTTGATACCGGAAAGCATACCAGCACCGAAGAAAGCGGGGGTGACTGCAGGAAGGATAAGCATGATGCATAGCAATGATATGAACACACGTACACTCAATGAACCAGCCGTAGTTCTCGAGTGAGATGATGCTCGTGAAGCCGAGGCGGTAGAGCGTCCAGCCGATGTGCCAGTCGAACAGCACACCCGGAGCGTAGCCAGTCATGACCTTGTAGACAAACACGACCGCGAACGAGTAGAGAAGCATGAGCGACTTCTTGCGCGCGTTGACCGCACCCGAGACACTGTTGTGCAGCGCCCGGATAGTGATCGCCGTGGCAGCCGGGGTCGGGAATGTGAGCTTCTGCTTGACGATGTAGTACTTGCGAAGAGGGATGACGAAGAAAACACCGAAGAAGCCAGCGGAGAACGTCAGGGCAATCAGCTTGCCGATGTCGTCCTGGGGAAGGTCCGAGAGCAGGTTGAGGCTGTACATGGCAGGGATGGCGGAGACGAAGAGGATACCGATGCCTCCAGCGGCGGTCGCAGCAGATTGGACCGTGCAGTTCTCCTTGGGCCCAAAGGGCCCGCCGAACATGCGGCCCAGGAGGCCGGACTCGGGGAGCGCCTTGGAGATAGGCTTGAGGATTGCGTAACCGAAGATGGCCTGGAATGTAGGGAAGTTGATTAGAGATGGGATCATGCCCATTACGCAATTAAAAAACTCACGCCGAACAGCTACAATGATGGACTCAGTGAGAGCTCACACGACGTCGTACGGGTGACTCACCTGAGGACCAAAAGTGAAGCCGGTCTTGAGACCAAGGTAGATGTTGGACGCACCGACTGCGTTGGGAGAGGTTCAGAAAAACCGACTGTATGCGAGTCAAGAAGACGTACCGATGGCACCGAGAACGCAGCCAACGAAGACGGCGCTGCATGCAAAGTGTGAAATGAACATCGGACACCATCGCGTTCTATTCAGGCAAGACACACCGAACGGTGAGCTGGTGGGTCTCCTCCATCTCATCATCCTCGATGGGGAATGGCCGGGTACTGTATTCGCATCCAAGATCAGTTCGTTCTACGCACAAGGAGGCTCATCGACTCACATATCCACAGGCTTGTGAGCATCGTCTGCGACGTTCTGCTTCTCGGCATCATGCTGGTGCTTCTCGTCGACGGAGCCGTGGGAGCTCTCGCCGCGGGCGAACTCGGTGAGTTCGGGCTGGAGCTCGGTGGTGGTGGCCATGGCAGACAGCGCGGGCACAGTCACGTTGCAGTGAAGGCGGGGCGGCTGGCGCGGGCGGAGGGACGGCAGGGGCCGTAGTCGCTGTACGGAGGCAGGACAAGAGAACGATGGTCGCCGCGGCTCATGACTATATACCTGTCGCATCGGCCATCTTCGCGGGGTGGAGGCCCAGGAATTGGGTCAGCCGAGCCCCTGCAAGAAGAGTTATCACAAGCGCTGATGATCAGGCGGAGCTTCCCAGCCGCAAGTGGCGATGTCATGCCCGTATCGTGCCTTGGGGAGTGTGCACCATGCGCTACCATGCGCTCGTTTGCTCCGCCAAGCCTGGTTTCTCTTGGCGGCCAGATGGAAACATGGCATGATGCATATGGCGTCGGGGAGAGTCTGAGTCTGTGATACTGAAAACCTCCAGAGATCACTAGGCGTTGTTCCGGTCCGGCTGATCGACGACCACTGCCGATGGTTCAGTGATGTACGTCTGTGTTAAGTGAGACACATAACGATATGGCCCAGGGGAGGAGCGGCTGAGCGGGGTTCGCATTTTGAGTTGTAGACCTGGGAGATCCGAGAGACCCAAGCGGCGCCGAGCGGAAACTCTTCGGTGGTCGAATGGATAAGGCCGCAACAGCCCCCGGCGGTTATGAGATGCCCGCTCTATTCGCTCCCGGGAAGTTTCAGGGGTCAAGCACTTCCTGTAGGATCCTGCACGTCTGCGGCATGAGTCCCAATGAGAGATCAATCCGCTGCACTAACCTGTCATGCTGGCTCCAAGGTCGCGCAATGCTTGTGCCTTAGAAGTTGCCCGAATCACGAACGAATACCTGGTAAAATCATGTTCGCGTGCCTTGGATGATCGCGCCAATCTCATGTTTGCCGAAGGAAATTTTGAACATCGAGAGAAGGCTGCTCAGGCGTGGAAGGATAAGGATGGAGAGGTCAGTCAGATTTCGTGAGAGGAACGTTTTCGGCTCCGAACGTATTGCACCGAGGTCCAGGATCTGAGGTTCAAGGTTGACTGCAGAATGTGCATCGATGTTCTTCGTAACATTCGGAGCGCGGGCCCTGATAAGTTAGCTGTGGTGATGAGTTGCAGGCTGGCATTCGTTCCTGGTGACGTCGCGATCTTCCGTGACCGTGCGACAAATCGATCGAGTACCGAGAGTACCCGATAAGACATTTGAGCAAATGCTGTTTGCCTCCGGCCGCGGGTCCGACCCCACACCAGGTCTAGTTGTCAGCCATCGACGCCTGCCGTATCACCGCCAAAACGCTCAGATTGGATGTGGTCAACCCCTGTGTTGTGACTCTGATAAGAGACGGAACCAAAATCGAACGGTCAAGAGTTGTGGTTCATTGGACTATAACTTGGAGTGTGGTTGACGTAAATGGGAATTGTACAAATGTGTGTGATACTGAGACCATAGTGATAACGCCGTGTCGACAAAAAACTCCTCATTCCGAGGGAAAGTGAAGGCCCGAGACAGAGCTTGCGACCGCCTACACAAACGACGTGGTCAGTCATACGACATCAAACACCCGCAGCCTATGCACTCACCACACGCTGACCAATTATTTGCATCATCGGCACTGGACGATGGCGTGTAGAAGTTGGATGATCATGGGCGGTAGACGTGATGGCAAGTTGACGGAAAGCTCAGGTGCCAGCCATACCGATGACGCCGACCGCGTCACGGATCTTTGCGATTTCGCTGACCGACAGATGGCCTTTGCTGGTGAGGAAGAAGTCCTCCCATGCTTGCGAGGCATCGGCTGGGTTGGAGAACTCGGATCTGGCGACAGCATGAGCATGATGATCGGTCAAAAGGTCCACTTCCATGGATCGTGGGGTACGGAGGGGAATGCGCGTATGACGAACTAGGCACAGGACTCACTTGAGAAAGAAGCTGAGCTTCTCCCAAAACTCCGGACGCGAGATGTGCGCATGGTACGAGCTGTCCGAGACAGTGGCGGGGGAGAGCGGAATGGAAGAAGTATCGAGAACGAGCGGAATGTCGACCAAAACTTCGCCCGGGCTCGGCGTCAGGGAGGGTGAGGGAGACAGGACAACTGACGGTATGCGCGAGTGACCCCTCTTGGGCTCCGGACTTGGGAGAAGCGTGATATCCTCGCCTTTCTTCTCCTCTGCGACCGTGGCGGCTGAGGCGGGCACATTGGACGGATCCCATATGAAGCCAGGCTTGACCATGAGATTGATGGTGTCGCCGTCCTTGACAGCGTACTCGCGGAGGAGTTTTGCGTCCGCGAGGACCTTGCCTTTAAGCAGCAGGCGTTGTTGATCCACGGGCGGAGCACCGGCTACCCCGGCGAGCTGAGCTTTGATCTGCGCGATGGTGTCCGTAGGTTGTACGTCAAGAGTGTACGATTGAGCAGGCTTGGTGGACTTGAACGTAATGCTGAGGGCATCTGGGAAGGCGATGATGTGGGTAAACGTGCATATATGCGTAAAAGAAGCGGAAGACAGCAGCACTAGAAGAACGGCATACCCGATGAAGTGGCTACCGGGAGACTTCGTGCTGGAGGCGGCGGAACATCGATCTGCTTGAACGTTGAGTCAAATTGAAACGCAGCCGGTGACCGTGCAAGAGATAGACGATATCTGTGGTGTGTGCGGAGGAGCAGGACTCACAGCTAACACGGGAACCTTCTTCAACTCGTTGTCAGGAGAGGGCTGGTAATCGTTGTCGTACACCACGGGTTGCGAGGAGAGTGCGTTCACGAACGACTTGACAAACGCAAGCTCGCCTTGTTCGGCCATTTCGAGAGAGCAGAGGGGATATGGGGGTGTTGGGGTCGACGACAGAACGGGACAAGTTAAGTATGCGCAGGTGCATAGACCCGCGCGCAGGCCTCGCCGCCTCCCAGTGGCAGTGAAGCGCCCAGACACAATGACGCAGTGGTAAGTAAAGCACGTGATATTGTCACGTCGTGATTGTGTCACACTACCAAGCGGCCCATGCCACCGCGCACCGACCGCTCGACCACACGTTCCCGCTTCCATCATGGCTGTACGTTGTCGTGCTTCCTCGTGAAACACAAAGCTGACCTTGTATTTGCAGTCAGGCTTCGGTATCCACGGAGGTGAGCACCTATGGACGGACAATGGTGTCTCGGGATGAACCGGGTCTTGCAGGTGTCGGCCGGTGTTTTGCGTTCTGGCAGGAGTTCTCTAAGGTGCGCGTTTTGTTGTGTTTGCAGCACGCACATGCCCACGAAGATGCCATACAGTGCTACGCGCAGACCGACACTCCCAGCAAGTGCCGCGCACCTGCCGAGGATTACCTCGAGTGTCTCCACCATACTAAGGAGGTGCGTGCTCTTCTGTCGTATCTAGCTACGACAGCGAAGCTCACTGTGTCACCATCCCAACCGTGGAACCGGTTATCTACGCTCTCGCTACACCATTTAGATCGAGCGCGCCAAGGAGCTCAAGGCCGAGTTTATCCGTCAAAACGAACACAAGGCCCACGAAAGCCGCAAGTTGGCGGAAATCGCGGCGGACGGGATCATCAATACTGTTGGGCTGCTACGTCGAGACGACTCGTAGGATGCGCTTTAGACGGCGGTTGGACCGGACAATGCAATCCAATATCCTGCCTAGCTATCGCCGTGTGAGTGACTCTAAACGCCCCCTGCCTTTGCTTTGCTCCTCCAAGAGAGCTTCCTCTTCCACCAATGCCGCGGGTACGCATCAGCATTCTCAATTGTGTCGCTCTCCGCCTGTCTCCACGGGAAAGTGTACTAGATGTGCGCAATTGTGGTTATACATACACGATGGTTACCAGCAGCCGCCGGTCAACAGCTGGCGCTTCCTGGTGACATGTGGTCTCGACAAGGATTCATGGGACGACGAAACGCGCATTCGATAGGAAGCTTTTTGTACGCAACTGTGGTGTCTCCATGACTTTCACCAGCCGCGCTCGGTGTTCCATGTGCATCCACAGATGGAACCTCTGCAACGCTTTTGGCTGGTCCGTCTGATTCGGTTCGCCCTCTTCGCTCACTGTGTGGAAGTCGGAGTCGCTTTCCCCCTCCGTCCAACCCGCAGCCGCAGGATCCAACACTCCATCGCCTTCAGGGAACAAGAAGTCGAGGTCCTCACAGTCCAGCCGACACTTCGTCACCTTGCAGAGCTTCGCAGAGGACAGCAAGGCCCACCCGGACGGAACAGGAACGTCTGTATTGCGAGGTCCCGGGAATGGGCGAGATGTATTAGAGCAAGCATTACAACATAAGCCCAGGGAAATGTATTGTCCACACAAGTCTGCAGGGCATGAGAAAACGAGCGACGGGAGGGATAGTAATGGCAATCCTACGTAAGAAAATCCGAGTATATGTGTGTCCATAGAAATAGCGTGGAAGTGATGAGCGGGTCAGAGCAGGCTTGCAGCATGCTCGACAACATGAGATGAAGTGATCCAAAAGCTGTGACGCTTAGAGGATGAACACTGCACCGAGAACCGCAGAGACCACAACGACACCAAGATCGAATACAGTGCTGTGGTTAAGTGCAGCGGCGTTCGTCGATGGCTTTGCAGTTTGAGACGCCCCGGTCGAGGACGAAGTCGTAGAAGACGGCTGGAATGAAGATCAGATCACAACGCGGCCCTAGAATCACGGCAATGCATACCGCGCTGGGAGCACTCGTGCGTCCAGTAGTCTTAGCAGTAGTGGCGCTAGAGCCACCGCTGGTGGAAGTTGTGCTCCCGGTGATGGGGGCGACCCCGTTCTTAATCGAGCCCACGGGCGTGCACATGGACTTCGGGGGCGCGGGGTGCGCGTCGGGCGTCGACGGTTGGCCCTGGTGGAAAGTCGACGTCCCGTAGACACCCATGGGCTACGCACAACTTTGAGTTGTTGATGCTACAGGTTATGAACGGATGAAACAAACCTCGCCAGTATCACCCTGGCACTGGTCGAAGGAGCCGGCGCTGTAGTCACCGGGCATGTTCCACTCGCAACCCATAACGTCGTAAATGTGCTGGCAGAGCGCGGGGGCTTTTGGTCCGTCCTTACATACACGGATACAGAACTCGTTCGCGGCCATGAAGTTCTGTGTGCACGACCGAAAGGATCGTCAATGATATGAGTAAATGAGATTACAGAAAGTCCGCCTTACCGTCCATTCGTGTGCCTGCTGGAGCTCGCCGAACGCTGTCGTGAATACGAGACCACCGATAGGGTTACCTGCGCACAAATATCAGTAAGTACCAGCACTAGGCAACGTCGAACGCTGGATATGCGACGCCGCTGCCACCAACGGCCAAACCTCCCGCCGTGGGTAACCTGCGAGGGCTTCTATCCGCGCCAACCAAACGGGAAGCCCGGAACGGGCACCATCACAAACATGATCACTCACCATTCCCGTCCGCGCCGTGTGGATCGAGTTCACCTCCCTGATCTCCGGCCGGAATGTTGATCTTCGTGAGGTCGCCGACACCCAGAACCTGGACGTAGTCTGGAGTTTGGATGAAGTGGGCTCCAGAGATGGTCCCGTCTGGGATGAGACGAGTGCCATAACCGTCCTTCATGCACCACGCGACCTCGATGCGTTCGGTGTTGCCGATGTCGGAGTCCGCGCCGGGTTCAGGCGGCGCGAAGAGGCAGAAGTCGTCGATGGAGTTCACTGCAATGTCCAATGGCGGGCGCGAGTTTGGTATCAGGAGCTTTGTCGGAGGGGCAACACACGCACCGTAAACGTTCTGACAGTTCGAGCTTGGCGAGCTCGTGGTGCCGCACTTGTTCGTGCCCGTTTGGCCTTCCTCGGAGTGATCGGGAGCGTTGGAGGGGAGGTATGTTGCGCTGTATGTCTGCGCGAGCGCGGCAGAAACGAGCGCGAGGGGAACGATGGCAGAAGCGAAGCGGAAGGCCATGTCGATTGAAACGGGACGACGGACGAAGACGAAGGGCAGAAACAGGGGGCTCAGGAGGGGAAAACGAAAGGAGAGGCCTGCCTCGCTAGGGCAAGCGGCAGGATGGTATAGCACCAGTCCAGGATCTTGCGTCCGGTGCGATCATGCATGGCTGCAGGAGCCCTGGCCAGTAGTAGAGAATCGCACTGACGGCAGGGTATGCCCGCGCGCGTCCCGACTTTGACGGATCGGACCTGTCTGGGGCTCATGAGACAGCCAGTGAGACGTGAAGCGTCTGCACTGTCAGTGGCGATCGACAGCTGTTTGCAAAACAAGCCACCGATGAGCCTGAGGAACAGATCAATTGTGAACTCGCGTATAGGCGACATGGGCTCAAGCGAAAATGGCCCGGAGGACTCACGAAGCTATGTCACTGGGAGCATCTACAGCTGCCCCATGGCCTTATCGCCCCGCGCGTTTGAAGCATCGGTACACCCGGCGAACGGCGCCCATAAGAGCCTCGGCGCGATGAGATGCTGCCAAGCCCTGTCCGCATTGCGGTCGTTCGCGAACCGCGTCCCTGAGGTGCACATGAAGTGCGCAAGCTCCGAGCGCCAGGAGCGAGGCTTGGGCCCAACAAACGAGACCTTACTGCGAGGTTTTGCTGGAACCCGGAAGATGAGACGCCAATGGCGGTAAGAAAGAGAGCGCGTCCGATGCGCCGGACTCCGAAGTCCTCAGTCCCATGCCCGCGCGGCGCCACGCTCACGTGCGTGGGAGCAGTCTTGAGCAGTCTCGCGCGGACGAGACTCGTCTTACCTTCGGCCTCTTCATTCTCACCGCCCTCCTGTCACTATCACCGTCAGTGTCATGGCCTTCTCTCCCCTCAACTTACGACGGAAATCGGAGTAATATCTTCCTCTCATGCTGTCTTTCACCGTCGCCGGAGGCGGTATTTCCGGGCTCTCGACGGCATTCCACCTTGCTCACCGGTTTCCACCTACATCCGGCGCACGTATCACCCTCATCGAGAAGGCTTCAAGGCTCGGCGGATGGGTACAGGCAGAGCGGGTCAAGGTGAAGCACGCAGGCCATGAAACAGAGATATTGTTAGAAAGTGGCCCAAGGACGCTGCGTCCGAACTCGAAAGCGATCTTGGAGCTCGTGAGTAATGTCCCATTGTGATATACACGGGTTCCATACCTGTTTGGCGTGATCTGGGCGCATATAGTCAGACCATACGCTCCATGCTCACTTTCTTGATACAGGTCAACCTCCTCGATCTCACTTCTTCCCTCCTCACCGTTCCCCAAACCGCTCCGGCCGCACTGAATCGCTTCCTACACATCCCTGGGACGGGTGGCCTTACTACCATCCCCACCTCTCTTTCGCTTCTCGTTCGTTCGCCCCTCGCCAAGCTCCTGGTCTCCTCCGTGGTGCGGAATGCAGTTCGCTCACGCCACAAAGGTTTGTCCTTGCACCAGAGGTGCTGAGATTCACATTAGGCGTTTTCATTTAAACTTGTCTTTTTCACAGATGTCCCCGCCGATGAATCCGTCGACGCGTTCATGACGCGTCATTTCGGTGAAGACTTCGCGCGGACACTAGGCAGCGCGCTAGTGCATGGCATATATGCGGCCGACTCGCGGCTGCTCAGCGTTCGTGCTGCATTCCCAACGCTGCGGGATGCAGAAGAACGTGGACGAGGTAGCCTTGTGCGTGGGATGTTCGTCGCACCGAAAAAGGTCGCAAGCGCAGGGCAAGACTCGTATGAAATCGGTGGGGTCGAGGAGATGATGAAGGGCGTGAGCGTATACTCGTTCAAGAACGGAATAGAACTCCTCACAACAGCGATGGAGGCATGGTTGAGGGCTAGGGAGAATGTCGAGCTGGTTGTTGGGGAGGATGTCTCAGCGTTGAGAAGAGATGATCAAGGACGCCAGTTTGAGGTGAACATCTCCCTGTCTCTTCAGCTTAGCTTGCTCATCTTGAGTAGGTAACGACTTCATCCGAAAGACGGATCACCTCGTCACACTTGCTCAGTGCACTACCACTCCCTGTCCTTCATCGCATACTCTCAAGACCCTCCCCCACATCGGTTCCGAGCTCCCTTCCAGAGCTGCCCCATCTCCTTGCAAATCCTACCTCGTCTGTCACGGTTGTCAATCTCGTCTTTCCCCCGTCATCCAACCCCATCCACCCCGCCGGCTTCGGGTACCTCGTACCCCGGTCCGCGACCGACTACCCGCGACCTCCCTTGGAGTACTCGGCACGGTGTTCGACTCATGCGCGCTCTCGGGACAAGACTCGGATCCAGGCTTCACGAAAGTGACGATGATGCTCGGAGGCCCATATCCCAACGCTCCCACTCCTTCCCCCAATGCTCCGTCTTTTATCCCAACTCTTCTGTCAACATTGCAGCGACAACTCGGTCGAGCAGAACCTCTACCCGACCCGTGCGTCATACGTATCCGGCAACACTCGGACTGCATCCCGACTCCTGGCGTAGGCCACATGCAACGCGTAGCCAAGCTACATGCGGCGGTCAGAGAGCGGTGGGGGCCGAACGCGGTACTTGTAGGGGCGGGTGTCACGGAGTCAGTCTCGGGGACTGTGTGGAGGGTGGGCGGCGGGCGGCGCTGACTTTGCAAGTCTGACGAACATTTGTTCGTCAACTTCTTACGCTCGCACCGCGGTGGGGAGCCTGATGGAGATCGTTGGAGGGAAGATGGGATAGGACTGATGGGTAGGCTGGATGCAGCTGTTGTTGAGATTTATAACACGAAGAGAGGACAGCATCGACGGCAGGTGGGTACTTACACAGTGAACGCCGGGCGAAACGAAGCTTACCTCATTGGTGAAACAGGAGAACGGCTAAACTCGTCGAGCGCAAACGATCCCGAGTCTCGATCGCACGGTGTTCCGAATAAGCGAGATTAGTGCCACGCGCCCCGCTGTCGAGATGGTGTGATCGCGCGGGGGAAAGTCGAGATCGCGCGTTGTGCGTTCGCGAGCTCTCCGCCCACGCGCACAGGTGTCGTCCTCGCGCGCGCGCGCGCGCTATCGAGCGACCAAAGTCGATGTGGCCAGCTGTCGCGGGGGTGAGGCATGGGAAAGTGGGCGGGGGCATGCGCAGCACACGTCGTATTCTGGGACAAGTCGTGTGAGCGTGCGGGCTTCGCGAGAAAGGAGAGTTCGTCGCCAGTCCGGTTCGGCTTCGCATCCGTGCAGTCGCATATAGTCCGCCCACGCAAGACGCCTTCCCACCCTTTGGTCTTCCGACTTCCCGGCCCCCTCCTCCACGCTCCTCGTCCCCGGCGTATGCCAGATACTCATGCTCTGAAGACCTCACCCCAGTGACACTCACAAGCACTGACGACCTCTAACGACTCGGCTTCTTGACATCATAACTTGTCGCAATGTCTCTGCCTTCCTCCTTGCCTTCGGCCCCTTGTTCTCCCCACCCTCCTTCACGACCACCGACACCTCCTCGACTGCGACTTCAACAAATCGACGAGACCGCTCCGGCGACGGCGGCGACGGTAACGACCTCGGTCCGGGCCAGTCGCTCCCTTTCAGCTTCCTAGTCACCTTCATCGCTATATTCCTCTTCTTCCTCGGGTGTGGCATAGGCTCGCGACGATTCAGCAGGCGTATCCGACGAGGACTCAACATCGAAGTCGTCGGTGGTGCGCGCTATCGCGCCGCGGCGTGAAACCGCCGCGCGACCAGTATTATGGGACGTCTGCCCAGCGAGCGAAGACAGAAACAGACTTGGGGACTGGAGCAGGGATATCGGAGAGAAGGGAACAGGCAGGGATGCGCCGCGGTGGAGGGAGAGCAGTTCTCGTGGGCGAACATCACAGTGCGTCCCTTCCCCGCATCCGTCCGAGCCCCCCGCCGACGCTCCCTGCCCCACGCGCGCTCTCGATACAGCCGCTCTCCGCAACTCTCGTCTTCCCGCCCCCGCCCCCACCGCCTGCGCCGCGCGCCCAACCCCGCACCCGCCCACACACCCTGTCCTCCGCTGGGTCGCGGGCGGGATCGCGCTCTCCCCGTCGCCCACCGCGATGCACGCGCTCGCCCGCCTGCCCTTCATGCCCTCCACCACAACGGCCGCAGGCTCGCCGCCCGCGCGCGCGCCCACTCCGCCCCCAGAACTGCGCTGGCGTGGGCGTCGCATCCCGCCGCTGCTCGCGCGCCCGCTCTTGCCGCACCGGGACTCCCCGCCGCCGTCGCCGATAGCGCACACGCTCCGCGACCACCGGACCTCGTGCGAACGCCGGGCGCGCAGACGCCAATGGGGGTCAGCGGAGAAACGAAGGACCCGCCGCCGCCTCCGCCGCCGCCCGAGTACGAGCCGGGGGCGGAGGGCGCAGAGATCGTGGTGCTCGTCGCGATGCCGTCTGCTGCGCGCGCGGGGCGGGAGCGCACGGCGAGGCGCGAGAGCTCGGGGTCGGGGAAGGCGCGGGCGCGGGGCCGGGAGGCGGGCGCGGGGGACGAGGAGGGGATCCAGGGCGAGTACGCGATCGGCACCGTGCGGTCGTCGTGGGCGTACGAGCCGGCGGAGGAAGCGGGGGACGGCGGGAAGTCGCAGAGTGGACTGCGGCTGCCGTTGGCGCAGATGGAGCAGGACAGGTAGCCCTCTACCGGTGGGACTACGGACATCTCACGTACGTTGGTGTACTTTGGAACGGAACGGAATGTATAATCGTTGTACCCCGACGTGTCGCGCTCATGTTCAAACCTCTCCAACGCCGCACACATGTCAATGCTCGCACCTGTTTTATCCTTCAAGGAGGTGCATAGATGCACTCGTTATTCCCTGGCCGTTGTTTGAATGCTAGTGCTACATAGTAAATTGGACCAAATACTCCGTCAACCTACTTATCGAAAGCTGCAACATGGACATTTTTTGTCTGCTACAAAGGGAACCTGCCCGCCTGGTTGTTTCTGTAACTGCCTTGGATGTACGTTGCCCCATCGGCAGTCTATTTGGTACTCTGAGTCGTGCCAGCTAAGGATTCAATATTTCAATACGGGCCAGCTTTGTTTTCCCCATAAGTTGCTGATTTACGATGCGCCGCCCCCCTCTCCCAGCGGCGTAGATGTCGAGGTATACATTGTTTATACAAGCACGCACCCTTGCAATCCGTGTGGTAAACCCAACCCTGTTCCTTTCTCTTGCTCACCCACCGCCCTCACGCCTCGAGACCCTCCCACGCCGCGTGCACAGCCAGGCACTCCTCCGCGACCTGACGCAGCCCAGCGTCCTCGCCCGAGGGCGGCTGCTGCTGCTGCTGCAAGAGCGGGAGCGCGGCCGCGTACGCGACGTACGGGTTGACCGTGAGCGGACGCCAGTCGCGCCAGACGCGCGGGACGCCGCCGCCGCCGCTCAGCGTCGGCGCGGCGGGCATGAGCTCGGGAACGAGGACGAGGACGTCAAAGTACGGGAGCTCGACCTGCGCGGGCGGCGCTGCGTGAGTCGCAGCAGGAACGAGGCGGAGCAGGAACGAGGCGGACGACGCACGGGCTGGAACCGGATCTCGGGGTTGTGCGTCTGCCCGGAGATGCCGTCGTCGACGGTGGTGCCGGAGACGAACTCGGAGGGGGAGTACGGGCCGCGCGCCTCGCAGTCCTCCCCCTCGTCCATCTCGTCCGCCTCGCCGTCTTCGCTTGCGGCGTGCGAGGGCGTCGCGGCGCCCGAGACGGGCGCCGGCTCGGCCATGTGCGCGCGGAACGCGGCGCCGGGGACCCACCGCCAGACGTTGTCCTCGTACGCGCGCGCGTGCGGCTTGCACACTGCCGATCGGATAAGAGCGGGGGGGGGGCGGGTAAACGGAGGGCGCAGACGGACGAAGCCGCAAGCAAAGGTGACGTACATGTCATGAGGTTCGTCCACTCGTCGCGCGTGTATTCCACCGGGAGGGCTTTGAGGCCCTGCAGCCACGATATGGGCTGTCCCCGCGTGGTTTGAGCGAGGAGCGGACGCCGAGGAAGAGAAGACTCACGTCCGGCTGCTCCGCGCCCACGCCGTGCTGCAGGATGGCGCGCATGACCGTCAAGTCGTCCTTCCGCCCGCAGAGCAGGCATTGTCCCTTGTGCCGGCGGATGGTCTCTACGATCATCCGGAACGGGAGGTACTCGGTGGGCGGGTTGTTGGTGATCGGGTGGGCAGTGGCCTCGCCCTCGTCGTGGAGCGCGAAGTGCGAGGTATCGCTGGCGACGCTAAGGGCGCTCTGCGGGCGTGTGGGCGGTGTAAACGGCTCAGAAAGGCTGTCGAGGTCGGAGATCGCGATAGGTGTTGCGGACATTGTGAGAGTGGCAGACATGGCTAGGTCGGAGAGGTGGGGTCGCTGGTTGAGGCGTTGAGGATGAGAAGGAGACTGTAAAACTGTGGAGGCGTCAGTCGCTTGTTTCGTGACACAAGACGGCACTGGTGAAGTAGAGGCACGATATAGGAGACTCTGGCAGCCGGGCTCAGGCGAATCGGGCCATAGAGATATCTTCGCGGCCTGTGACCCGACATTCGCATAGAGCACAAGACGGCATCAACATGCACGTCGTTGCGTAAGACTGCACGCAGTCTACGCGAGGCCGACTACTTAGACGATCACGACATGTGTCGACGGCGAAAAGGCTATTCATGGGGCGCGCTGATCCTCTTTTGCCCTTCTCATGACGCCGACTCTGCGCGGCTGAGATCTGCACGCCTGGCCAGGGTGTCTGCCCTGCGTCCCAACTGCAGACGAGTGCTCACCTATGATCTCCTATATGTGCGGCAGATGAAGCAGGGGGGAGTCTGGAAGGTTTGTGTATGCGCCTTTTGCATAAGCCGGGACAGACGGGGCGGCGGAAAGACTGTGGGGCGGTTGGGCGGCAGGAAGGAGGAGGAGGAGATAAGTAGCGATTTGGGTGCCCAGGTCCCGTGAGCCACGCTGCATGTCTCGAACGCGAACCTTAACCTCGTTTAGAAGGCTCCCCGTGCCTCCATACCATCCTCTTCTGCACTAGTGCATCTCGTGCAGGATTCTATTCCATCGCACACACTCCGACCCCTGGTATGGAGATGCATGCCCCGACCTCTGAATGCGTGAAAACACCGTGGACCGAACTCACCAGACGATATCACGACTGCACTTGAGGCTCACAGAAGTAGCAATTCATGGAAACCAATAAAGATACCAACGAAATGCATCGACATAACGGCCGTCCCTCTAGTCGATAAGGTACTTCTTCTTGAAGAACGAACGGAGATGCATGATTTGCCACACCCCCAGCCCGAACAGCGACGCGAACATGAACCACGCGAAGTTCTGCACGCGAGAGTTGGTAGAGACTATAACGATCCAGTGAAATTAGCGCCGCATCGACAAGAGACATCCCTGGGAGCGGGGGAAGGGAATGTACGCACCGTTGGTTGTCTGAAAACGTTCCTCGCGCGTTTTCAAGTACTCCATCTCGTCCGTGATTTCCTTGACGATGCCCTCCAATTTCCGCATCTCCGTCTCCAGTCCTGACAAAGACTCCTGGTTCGCGATGGCACTGGGAGCGAGATTGGTGAGTTGCAGCGGGAGATGGGGAGAACGAGAAGACGTACTTGTAGTCGACAGCGTCCGCACCAATGTCAATATCGAGGTCGATGACACGCGAGTGGGGCTTGCCGTCGTTAATACCTACGGCGGTGCACCCACATATAATCAGCCTGCGTAGCAGACGAAACGCCACGGAACCAAGACTCACCAGCATCGAGCGTGTTCTTGAAGCATACACCAATGTCCTCCTCCGCATGCGCCGTGATGGCAAACCGCTTCTCCCCGCCAATGTTCTTCTTGCTCAGGTAGACGTTCTTGTGCTCGCTCGAGTCGATGACCTCAATGTCAATCCGCTGGCCGTCCCCAGGACCGACGTTGGCGGTGATAATGACGAGCGCGCCTGGATGTGCCGCGTTCCATATGCACTTGCTTGACGGGTACCGCAACGCGGGGAGCGCAAACTTGATTGCTGCCGCGGAAGGTGCAAGCAGAAGGCACGCGAGGGCCGCGGCGAGCAGGAGGACGGGGAGGCCACGAACGCCCAATCGAGAGGGCATGGGCAGTTGAAAGTAGTTTTGGGAGGCAAAAACGCAGTCGTCAGAGGTCGTAGAGGTCGCCGTCGTCGGCTGCGACAAGGGTTCCAGGGACGCGGGCGTGAAGGTGTCGTGGAGGAGTGAACGGGTGCAAGCGTCTGCGCACTGCTGGCAAGCGCGAACGTGGAAGTTCATCAAATCCGTTCACATGGATTATAAGTGGCTATAATCCCGCTTCAATACCATCTATTGACGTGGGAAGTCAACTGCCACAGTCTCTACTTACTCATGTATTAATTTATTGAACCTCATAAGTGGGATATAAGCATCCGTTATGATCGGCTGCCATCCCAGTACTGAGTCCTGGTTTCCGGTGATGACTGCAACCAACCATCCTCCCTTCCCCCCACCCACTGCACCCCTTGTTCCACCCTGTGTGCGGCTGCAAGTCGTTGCGGAGGTCCCGTCTTGTTCATCGAAGAGCGAGATCCGCGCCCCCGTGCGTTCGTAACACTTTCCCTCCATGAGCAGCAAGGTACGCGCTCACGCTTATAACAAGCGTTTTGGCTGAGACCAAGTTGTCCAGCCCTCCCGCAATCCTCGTGTTGAGTCCCAGTTGCGCGCGTCGCAGAGAGCAAGCGCGTTTGGTGCGCTATACCCCCTCATATTGCGCGAACACTCCCGCCGGACCCGGACGACGTCTGGGCGCGACTTCAGCCTCGTTGAGCTTTCGGTGATCAAACTTCGGCGGTTCCAAGGAGCGCGTGGCCTCGGCTCCAGGCCTTCTCCCACAACACCTTGCTTTTGAACTTCCACGACCGCCTCGCCGGGTGAGTGCAACGCCTTTCTCGCATTCCCTCGGCTGACGTGACTCTCCACTCTGCAGCCCGCCGCGAGCGCGCCTTAAGCGGGCGAGTGCCGCGCTGACAACACAAGTATTCTCGCTGTTCAAAATCAGTCCGAACCTATCTCCCTATTAGACCGGGGCTTGGATGATGCCCACCTGGGACACTCCAATACACCAGCTTCCCGTTGAACTGCTCGCCAAAGTCTTCACCACCGTCGCCCAGGACGCCCCCTCGCCGCCATCTCCCGCTTCATGGCTACAACTCCTTCTCGTTTGCCGGCATTGGAAGGAGGTGGCTTCAACATGGGGTCCCCTCTGGCGCGTCATTCACGTGAGCACGAACTTGGACTGGCTTCGTCTTTGCATCAAGCGTTCGTCCCGATCATCTTCCATCGATGTTCACATCAACGCCCTCCCCGCGGCCACGATTGAAGTCGCCATCCCGCATATCATCACCCAGGCTCCCCGCGTCCGGGCGCTACACGTGACCGGGTACGCAGAGCCATCCCAGATGCTTTCCGCGCTCCTCGCTTGCTATGAGCTACCCCTTCTCGAAGAGCTCTCCATCCTCCCCCCTGGACGCCGCTCAGAAAGAGAGTACCAATACATGCTCAGCACCGCTCGCCACCCCCGCATCCGGGCGCTCGCGCTTAGCGGCGCGACTGTTCCTCGCGATAGCGGCTTCTTCGCCAACATGCGTTCGCTCCGCCTCCACGACCACTGTTGCGAGCTGAGCAAACTCTCCTTCCTGGACCTCCTCGACGCGCTCGAGGCCGCGGCTCCGGTGCTCGAAGAACTCGACCTCTCTCGCTTCACCCCCTACGTCAACCCCGCCGGGCCCTCGGAAGAGACGGCGCAAGCGTTGCACTCGCACGCGCCCCTGCACTTCCTGCGCCTCCGCCGGTTCTGCGCCGAGAACTCGTCCGCCGCGGTCCTCCCGCTCATGTACCACATCCGCGGGCTCCCGGCGGACGTGACGCTGCACATCCGCTGTGGGCTGCACCCTCTGGATGCGGAGCGGCATCGCACGCGCGCGCTCGAAGCGCTCGTGCCCTTCCACCTCCGGTACGCCCTCGGCCCGGCCCAAACTCTTGTCGCCACGTTCACCCGCAACCGGTTCTCCGCGCGCGCGATCGTCTCCTCCCCCGCCTTCGCGCACCCGGAACGCACCACCATCGAGCTGCACAACCTCACCCCCGACACCGCCCCGCGACTCGCGATCCTCCCCACGCTCTTCGCCGTCGCCGCCCCGCACCTCGCCGCGCTCCACGTCCAGACGGACCGGCCCTCCGTGCAGGGCGACTGGGACGCGCTCCTGTCCACGTTCCCGGCGCTCACCCACCTGCGCGTCGAGGGCGCGCGCTACGCCCCGCTCGTCGCGCGCGCCCTCCTCGCGGCCGAGGGCCCCGTCGTCCGCCCGCACTACCGCGCCGGGGCCGGGGGAGACCGTGCGACCGCGGTCATCGTGCGCTGCCCCGTGCTCGCAGAGCTCCGGCTCGACTGGGAGAACGAGCCGCCCGATTCCAGGGGCGCGCTCCGCAAATGGCTGGGAGAGGGCCTGCGCTCGCGCGCGGGGCACGCGCCGAAGCTGCGCCTGTTTGGGATCTACAGGCTCCCGGGGATGCGCGAAGGGGGGCTCCGGGACGCGTTCAAGTGGCTCGTCGAGGAGGGCCTGGTGGACGCGCTCGAAGTGATGGGTTACCCGGCGATGCAAGCTGCGCTGGGCGCGGTAATCAATGGTGTGGGCGGTGGCGGCGGAGAGCGATGACCAGGCGTGGGAGCAAGGCGGCAAAAGATGATTGTCGGATGTGGTGGGTGCCTATTGTAACGACTCGTACGAATGTAGCTCACAATGTAATGCCAGGCGGGCGGGCCTCGTGGTTGAACTATCGAACAATGGCGCAGGAGGCTGACCATTACGCGAGACCGTGGGGGACCAATATAAGGCGCCTGTTCAGCGGGCAACCGCACCTCAACCACTCCTGCTATTGACCATTCCCTCTCCTCCCTCGTCTCCTCTGTGCGGGGTGCTCTTCTGGGCCTGAGTCTTCCTGCCGGGGCCGAGTCGGAGTGCGGGCGCAGAGTAGACGAAGTTTGGTTGATCGGTTCAGTCCTCACGAGCAGGTCCTCTCCACCGAATTTGCGACAGCCGGTGAGTTCTCCTTCTCCCTCGTCGCGTCGATGGGGGTCTCATCAACCTCGAGCCTTTCTTTCTCTTCAAGATGACGGCGGGAATAAACCGGCTTCACGACCACATCCTTGTGGAGATCTTCTCCCTCACCTCCCTCCTTCCCTTTACCCCCTTGTCACCAACCACTTGGAATGGCACAGCAGCCAGCACACCGCCCTCAATGTCGTCCTTGGAGTGGGTCGGCTTACGGCTTGTATGTCGCTCCTGGCGCGAGCTGGCAGACGATACACCCAGCCTGTGGCGTGTGGTCACGGTCAAGAACGATCTGGACGCCATGCGGTTTCAACTCGTCAAGAACGCCAACTGCTCGATCGATGTGGTACTAGCGTCCGACGCCGACTCCAATCTCCGTGGGCTGAAGCTTTTGACCGCTAACGCAAAGAGGATCCGGTCGGTGTCAACGCGGGAGGGCTTCCAGTGCAAGCACCTACCGTCGATCAAACCACTGTTCAAGGAGCCGATGCCGCTGCTCGAACGGGTGGAGATCGCGCTCGGGCTGAACGTCTTGTTTGCCAATGAAGAGTACGACCCTGACATCGGCTTGACGACCTTCCCCCACCCCCATCTCCGCCACGTCCGCAGCTGTGGAATCGCTCTTCCGCCCTCCCCTCCCTTCTGGTCGAACGTCCGGACGGTTGACGTTGACCTCAAACTCGATCCCAGCGAACAGCACCCAGCGGACCACCTGCTCACCATCCTCGCGCTGACCCCAAGGCTAACCACCCTCTTGGCGCGTTACCACGAACCTGTGGGGCCCACCGCCGGCATCCCGGCCGTGGACGGCACTGCGTCCCAGGCTGCGGTGCGCTTGCCCGAGCTGCGGTCCATCAGTATCGTGTCCACGTACGCGCTAGCCGAGTCTCTACTTCGCCACATCGACTGCAACCCCATCGACGAACTCTCACTGAGGACTTACGTCTTGGACGACAACCTCGAGGAGCAGCAGTTCACCCTCAAGGCTGTCTTCTCCCTCCCTTACCTCCACGACGCCTTCGCCCGGCCGAGTCACCTCACACTCGGCATGAGCGGCGACAGCTCCTACGAGAGGCTCGTCCTCACTTCGTGCTTGGACGAACGATGCGGCATCCACGGCGACGCCGAAGCCCAGGCCCTTTCCGCACCCTCCATCTCGACCTGGAGCTCCCGATCAAGATAGAAGAGGACATGCCTCCCTTGGAGCCCGTTCCCAAATTGGACACCGAGCCTGGCCCCGACGCCGAGCCCTCGAGCTCAGACGAAGACGTGTGGAGCGGGTCCTTCTTCCCAGCGCTCCGCGCCGTCCTCGCCGGCACCCCGCCCCCGCTCGACGTCCGCTCGCTCTACCTCGGCCCCGGCGCGCTCTCGGACGACGCCTCGACGGCGGCGTGGAAGCGGTTCCTGTCCATGTTCCCCCGCCTCCGCGCGCTGTGGCTGCACTCGACCCGCGTTTGCGCCCGCGCCCGCGCGCCCCTTGTCGCGCTCGGCCCGACGCCCGGCGCCGTGGCCTCCGTCACAGTTTGGGGCACTCTGAAGGAAGAGGCGGACGTCGTGGACGAGGTCCTGCGGCGGTTCCTCCAGCTCGCGCGGGCGTGCCAGGAGCATGCCCGCGCGCCCGCGGCGTTTGAGCTGTGCACCCCCGCGGACGTCGGCATGCACGAGCCGATCCTGAAGCAGCTGCGGGAGTGCGGGTCGGAGCTCGCGGTGCTGGACGAGGCGGAGGGCGCGGAGATGAGGAGGAAGTACTGGCGCAGGAAGCACAGGGCGATGGATGGGGTCCTCCGGCGCCGGCGGGAGCGCGCGGTGTGCGAGGGGGTGAGGAACGTGCCCAGCAGCGCAGGGTTCTCGGAGATTGGATGCTTCCGCGACGGTGTGTACCACGTACTTTTGTAGCCTGCTCGAGCTGTAGCTGTGTCGATGTAATGGCTCGTTGTGCTCTTCATCATGAATGCATTGTTGTTTACCGTGTTGTCGGCGAATGATTTGATTGCGTACTCGCTGAGACGCATCAACGTCTCGGATTCTACAGGGTGCATTCAAGCTCGTTTGTACTTGTAGTTAGACGGCCGAGACGGCAGCGTCATCACCACCTTCACATACGCCTCCCGGCACTCGCTGAGTGTAGGCAATGTCTCCGCGTCCAGCGCACTGGAACTGCCCTCCACCTTGACCCTGCGATACCCGGTGCTGCCCGTCATCCCGACTCGCTCCCACCGTGTCTCCGCCAGATCCACCGCCCCCTCCTCCTCCTCCTCCCGAGGCCAGAAGTCCACTTCCTTTCGGTCGACCCGACACACCATCGCCCCGCAGAGCTCCGAGAGCGCCAGCAGCATCCATCGGTGCGCCCGCAGCGTCCGCGGGCGGGGGCGCCGCCCGCCGTGCTCGGCCGTCGTGTGCAGCTCGATCTTTTTTTTTTTTTTTTTTGTCGTCCTCGTTTACATCAGGAAAAACCCAAATCCCTATTGAGAGGTAAAATATTGGTAAGCCGATATACGCGAAAATACTGCCGCTGTTCCAACTCACCGCAGTTTACAGACACTATCTCCTTCCTTCTGGCCGCTTATTGGGTGGATGAGGTATAATTTGATATGTTTGAGTGGGTGTGATGGATATCTGTACATGTAGGTAGCCGATAATGATATTTTCGACTCGATCCCGACGAGTAGTATGAGGCCGTATGCGTATGACTTCCCCCGCTGTTCACACAACATGCATAGATGGATCATAGAGCACACTGGCATTGCTTCACGGTCTAAGTGCTGCGATAATGTACATATCCTCACACCCTATGATACTGGTTTGTCAACGAGAACTTACCTGGACTTTGTGAATCCAATCTCGACATCCCCCTCCACGTAAATTCTGCTTGCCTTGTGCGACGAACACCATTTCGGACTGGGCGCAGGGCTAGGCGCGGTGGGTACTAACGAGGTGGCGAACTTGCAGCCCGACAAGTAGATGTACTGGTGCGAGTTCACGCGTAGCTCGGCGAGTCGGGCGCAGTGATCGTGGCGTTGCTTGCGGAGTGTGTGTGCGATGTGTGTGTGTGGTCCTAGTCGGAAATGACGTGGACACGGGATACGATGAAGCGCAGAGAAGAACGAAGAGGGTGACGAACCAGGGCAAGTGCGCTGCCAGAAGATGAGCGGGCCCGTGACGAACACTTTGAGGAGCAGCAGTGAATCGCTAGGAGCACCTGTTGCCATAGCCCATCGGCAGCTACAGATGCACCTATTGATCCGTGATGCGCGCCCGTGTAGACGCGCCTCGCCGGGCGTGGCGCGCATCAACGCGTGGCTGTGATGCACGCCACGCGTCCCTCCCCTTCGCCGTCCTTGCTCTCCTCCTCCGCCTCCTCCACTACACCCTCACTGCTTCCATCCTCCCGCTCAGCCCAGGCAGACGATAGCGACCACACGGTCGACTGTCGTCTGCTATTGGACTCCAGTGTCACCAGGTGACACTGACCTTCCCTCCTCTGACCGACCTCGACCTCAACCTCAATCCCGCCCTTCACCCACCTTGCCAACCACCCTCACAACGTCAAGGGTGCACATGGAGATTGGAATATGGGGCCGCGGCGATGTACCGTGGCCCCTGCTTTGGTGAGTCCTCCGCCATGCCCTCTCGCATTCCCAACGCCCACCCGCCACTCCTACAACAGGCCGAGGACGTCCGCCCGGACGTCCTCCCCCTCCTCAGCCTTCCGAGTCGCCCTCCCCCGCGCGGCCCTCCTCCTTCGTGCTGCCCTCCTCCTCCGTGCTGCTCTGCGTGGCGCTCCTCCTCGCCCTCCTCCGCCCGCGCCTGCCGCCTCCTTCGAGCCTCCTGCCCGCCCGCCCTCGTCACCCTCCTCTGTGCTGCTCACCTCCGCGTCGCCCACTTCCGCGCCGCCTCGTCCGCCCTCGTCGCCCGCCTCGTCTACCTCACCCCTCCGCCTTACCCTCCTCCGCCTGCCCCGCATCGCCCTCCCGGCCCTCCGCGTTCGCACCACCCGCGTCGCCCATCTGCGCCCTCGCAGCCCTCCACCTCTGCGTCCTCTGTCTCCGCATCGCCCACCTTCGCGTCGCCCGCCTTTGCGTCGCCCTCCTCCTCTGCGTCGCCCGTCGCCACGTCGCCCTCTTCCGCGCCCACGTCCTCGCCCTCCTCCTCCACGCCTACCTCCTCCGCGCCCGCCTCGCCCGCCTTTGCCTTGCTGCGTCGCCCTACTCCGCGCCTGTCTCCCCTTCGCCCGCCTCCTCCACACCCGCCTCGCCGCCTCACCCCCTCGCCACGTCGCCTGCGCCCACGTCTCTCATCCGCCCGCATTGCCCGCCCGCGTCGCCCACCCACACCCGCCTCCACCTCTGCCTCCGCGTTGTCGCGGGGTGTGGTATTATGTGCTTGTTCACTTGTGTAGTAGTTTACTGATAAATATATTTTGATCACTAATTATATACAAAGTGTGATGTGAAATAAAGAGGGAGGTGAGCTCACTGTCGGAGACGGTGAGCTCAGGTGGCAGGGCCCGAGGCGCCGGTGTCCGGACGTCTCGGGGCAGTGTCGCGCCCGTGTGGCTGGCGGCTGCGTGAGCACGCTCCGGGAATGCAACCGGGCCGGCCGGATCAGCAGGTGCATCTGCACCTGCCGATAGGCTATGGCAACAGACGCACCTGGCGATTCACCACTGTAGCTTTGAGGTACCACTGTGGCTGCGAGAGCGCCGCACGGTTGTACTATGCATCGCGGTCAGGGGACAGCCTATCGGGTTGTCGTGCGAGGACGCGCGCGGCCCGTACATTGCACCGTCGGGATGACCGCACTCGGGCGAGCCAAGGGTAGGCATTGACCATTGCGCCGCTGCAGCTTAGATGACGATCAGATCGAGGCGGAAGCAGCCATCGCGCTCACCGCAGAAGCCGCGCGAGAGCTTCGCGGTCTCTTCATGGCCGTAGTACGGGTCCCGGACTCCCAGGTGCGGGAAGGTGGGAGATTAAGGATGCGGAGAAAGCACAAGGAAGAGGCACGAGAACTCACGACCACAGTCCACTTAGTGCAAGCCCAGGCCAGAGGGCCGGACAGCCACAGTTTCGGCAGCTTCTTGAACGACGAGTGGTGGTGGCGAGCAGTGGAGGGACCAGAGATGGCAGCCATGAGGAGGCGGAGGGGCTAGGAGAGTGGTGGTGGTCGCAGTTGAAGAGCGGAATGGCGCGCAGACGCTTGCGGCAACGGCAAACACGCCTACGCGCACTCCTCTTTCTCAAGCGTGCGGGCAAGTTGAAACAGAGTTCATTCATTCGAGACGTTGGAACATAACGACGAAAGCTCAGTACACATAGTAAGGTATCAAGAGTGCATCAGTAAACGACTTTGTACGTATGCTTGTCCAAAAACGTGTTCAAGTAGAAGGTAGAGCATAATTCGAGTACATTGTTGCTAGTCCATTCTCGATTGACCGTGTGGCCGAAATCTGGGAACAGCTGACAGCTACGTTCGATTTGCTCAACAGGTATCACTGATGCAATACGAGCGCCGTGGGGATCGCGAGAGCGGACAACTTTGAACAGGCCGTGGTCGGGATCGGGGGCACTCGAACAGGAGAACCACTCTACATACGCCAGATGGAGAGGAATGGTCGAGGGCAGTATGCCGGGAAAGAGATGCGGCAGGGAGTGTGGTGGAAGTGAGAAGACAACGCGAACCTGAGCAACCCTTAAATCTGGGAGGAGTAGAGGTGGATCGGTCAGCGATGGAGAGTCTGAGCGGCATGGTACA